TATGTTTTCCATGAGTGGTTTGAGATCAGACCATCTCGTAACGATGATGTTTTGTCTCTGCTGCAGCACAACCAAGTACAGCCTGTGGTCATTTCTCCCTCATTATCTATACCTGCAGTTCAGCAAAGGTGCCAACACTTTCTGCTCATCACCATCCTGCAGGTAATATTCTAGATCACATTATTCAACCGGAACCCCTAAACTGTCTAAAATATACTTGCAAAAAGCTCATTTTGCTGAAATAAGAGTTTGATGTAAATATACTCAAACGCTGTAAGAATAGAACTCTTCACTGAAATTCCATCTTGGGTCTGAAAAACACGGGGATGCACATAGATAACTTGGCTGTCAGCTCATCCTGACTAAGATCTTGAATGAGTTATTATTGAAGCAACTTTGGTCATTTATGTCACCTGCAGAGGAGGCTAATTTTATTATATTTTGAAAGGAATACTTAAAAAATTTTTTTTAATTTTACACATGTGGGGTACAATTCAGGATTAGGTATATAAATGGTCATCGCACCGATGAAGTTTGGACCTCCCATTGGTCCTCACTTCACCTGGTTTGGTATCAGGTACGCTTATTGATGTTATGTGCTCCCCCTCCCCTGGCAGTGTCCTGCTACTGCCAATCTTGAAAGGAATAATTTAAAGGAAACTCAAATATTAGTTTAAAACAGCATCTTTTTAGAACAGTTTAATGCAAGGCTTTCCATCATCTTGGTTTATATGTTTTTATTCAACCTTATTTCTGGCCTGAACCCCACAGTCCAACCAGGAATGTCTCCTCACAATTCCCCAATTTTCTTTCTGTCTCCAATCCTTGGTGCATACTAACACCTAACCCTGGAAGGCACTCATCTGGCTGAATCTGACCCATTCTCTTAAAAACCCAGCTCAAAGTCACACTCCCCAAACTTTACCAAGTGCCACTTAAACACCAAGTGTTCACACGGATTTTCCTTTCTCTAAACATCTATAACAATGCTCTGTGCTATATATTATAACTGGTACTAGCTGGGTGGAGTGGCTCATCCCAGCACTTTGGGAGGTAGAGGCAAGAGGATTGCCTGAGCCCAGGGGTTCGAGACCTGCCTGGGCAACTTGGCAAGATCTCATCTCTCCAACAAATCAAAAAATTAGCTGGGCATGGTGGTGTACTCCTGTGCTTCCAGCTACTTGGAAGGCTGAGGAGGGAGTATCACCTGAGCCCAGCAGGTCAAGGCTGTGGTAGCCGTGATCATGCCGCTGCGCTCCAGCCTGGGCAACAGAGTGAGACTCTGACTCATGTACATTTGACTGGTGCTATTTCTCCCGGTAAGCTGTAGAACCAGACATTATACTGAGTAAAATAAGCCAGAACCAAAGCACAAATACTATATGATTCCACTCATATGAGGTACTCAGAACAGTCAATTCCTAGAGACAGAAAGTAGAATGGTGGTTTCTAGAAAATAGGGCAATAAAGGAACAGGGAGTTATTGTTTTTTGTTTTTGATTTTTTTTTTTTATTGAGTTGGAATCTCACTCTGGAGTGCAGCCTCACGGCCACTGCAGCCTCAACCTGCTGGGCTCAGGCGATCCTCCCATCTCAGTTTTCCAAGTAACTGGAACCACAGGCATGCGCCACCTTGCCTGGCTAATTTTTTTATTGTTGTAGATGCGAGGTCTCTTCAAGTTGCCCAGGCTGGTCATTAACCCTTGGACTCAGGCAATCTTCTTGCCTCCGCCTGCCAAAGTGCTGGAATGACAGGCATGAGCCACCACGCTTGGTGGGAGTTATTGTTTAATGAGTATAGAGTTTCAGTTTGGGAAGATAAGAAAGTTCAGGAGGTAGATGATGGTGATGGGTGCTCTACAAAATTATAATATTTAACTAAAGTGTACATAAAGTGCTAAACTGTACATCTAAAATAGTTAAAATGGTGAATTTTTTGTTATACATACATACATATGTATGTATGTGTGTGTATTATATCATAAAATGGTGTCTTAGAACTGCTGAGCTTTGGAATAAGAATTCAATCAATTGACCTTGACAGAAGAATTGGATTCAGTAAACATTTATACAGCACACACAGCGTATATAAAAATCTGTTCATGGAATTTAAAAATTTAAGGAGGAATAATTAGACGTGATGTCTGCCCTTAGAGAGCTCAGAGTCTGATATACAAGGGGGACCCCCAAAAAACTGGAATTATCTTTTGGAAGAGGGCCCCTTGTAGTCCAGGCTTTCCCCTAGGTAAGTGTTCTAGGAACCTGTCGGCATCCATGGACCAGCTGACATTGTTGTGAGAATCTGCATTCAGCTTCAGTGACCTTTTTTTGGAGATTCTTTCAACACGTTTGCCCATTTCATGACAGGTGACTTACAAGTGCACCTGCCCACACCACACTGAGTGTTCAGCAGTTTTTGACCAAAAATGGCGTGACCTCTGTGACCCATCCCCCCAATTCTCCAATCTCACCCAGAGTGGCCTTCCCCCACCCCCATTAAAAAAATCCTCAAAGGGGGAAAAAAACAGTAGAAATACTAAAAAACACCAAAATGGACAAGTTCAAAAACTATTTTGATTAGCCGGGTGTGGTAGTGCACGCCTGTAATTCCAGCTACTTGGAAGGCTGAGGCGGAAGGATCTCCAGAGCCCAGCAGGTCGAGGCTGCAGTGTCGGGAGCGGCCACTGCACTCCAGTCTGGGTGACAGAGTGAGACTCCAACTCAAAAAACAACAACAACAAAAAAACTATTTTGAGTGGCGGAAAAAGCATCTGGATAGGTGTATTGCATCCAGCGGGGAATCCTTTCAAGGTGACTGAAGTTTAAATATGTAAGAATAAAACAGATTTTTTTATTTAAAAAATAAAGGAGGTCCTTCTCATACAAGCATTTTAAGACATAAAGTATTTATAATTTTATATATTTATAAGTGTATGAATCTAAATATGAAGACATAAAGTATTTATAAATTGTTGGAGGAAAATGCCCTGCTTCTGGTTTGGGACTGAGTGGTTCAGGGAAAGCTACTGAAAAGAGGTGGCATTTGAGCCAAACGTTAGCGAATAAAGGACTTAACACAAGTCTAAGGCCAAGGACCGCCTCGGGACACAGTGGCAGTGTGAGCAAACACTTGGAAAGGGAAACGTTGGTTGTCTTTCTAGAATCTGGAGCCAGGAGATGGGAAAAGGTAGAATTTTCATGATGAACACTTTCATATATTTTGAATTGTGAAGCATGTCAACGTGTTACCTACAGTCAAAATGAATAAAATGCAAATTTGAATACTAAATTTTTCTCTAGTATATGAAATATTCCAGAAGTGTTGAAAAAAAATTTTTTTTGCAGGGGTGCACGGGGTAGAGTAGGAAGAAAGTCAAGGTGTTAGGTGAGTGTCCCTACAGAAACCTGGACTTCCTCCTAGCAAGGGTGACAAGGCGGTGGCTATTGTGAGGGCATGCTGACCTGAACTGCTTGGGTTAGCCTTAAGGGAGGAAGGGACAGGGAGAGGTCTGAGACCAGCTTGGAGTTGTACTGAGGAGACATGAAGAAGAGCAGAGACGCAGGAGTGACAGGAACTATCAGATTTTGTTTTGTTTTGTTTTTTTGAGTCAGGGTCTCACTCTGTCACTCAGGCTAGGCTAGAGTGCAGTAACACGACCACAGCTCACCATGGCCTCAATCTCCTGGGCTCAGGCTCTCCTTTTACCTTAGCTTTCCAAGTAGCTGGGACTACAGGCATGCACTATCATGCCTGGCTCATTTTTCAGTTTTTTCTCTTTTTTGTAGAGACAGTATCTCACTGTGTTGCCCAGGCTGGTCTGGAACTCCTGGGCTCAAGATCCTCCTCCCTTGGCCTCTCAAAATGCTGGGATTACAGACATGAGCCACTGCCTGGCCTTAAGAGGTTTAAAACAGATATTCTTTTGCTACATTGTGCCAAAAAAAGAAGAAGAAGAAGAAAGAAAGAAAGGAAAGGAAAGGAAATGAAAAAACAAGGCTGTGTAGAGAGTACACACCCACCCAAATCTGTCAAGGGAGGCCTAAGATCTTCTCTGGCTCCAGAAAGCTAACTGCTCAGACCCAGAACCGCACCCCGCCCCTGCATCCATCAGAACACTGTTGCTGCCTCAGTTTCCCTCGCTTTATTTCCTATATTTTAAACATTGGGCATAGCCCTAGAGACCTATCCACAGTGAATTTGTATCTAAGGAAATGTTCTTCTCCTGGGCCTCCAATAACTTCTCCTCTGCCTCCAAAAGAAATAAACTTCAGGTAACCATTGGGACTTAACTGTTTTGAAAAGATGCTATTTTAAATTAACATTTAAATTTCGAACTATTCCTTTCAAAACCTAATAAAAGCATCCTATGAGGAAGATGATGAGTGACTGAATGTCGTTAAGCGGATACACTGGGGACTTTTGTATAATGTGATACTTAGCATCACACTCAAGGGATGATTTTGAGCCATCAAGAGTTTCCTTTCATTCTCCTTATTTAATGTGTCTATTGCCTTCATGTCCTGGGCCATGCCAACTAGTGGTGTGATCTTGAGTGTCAGCAAAACAGAACGAAATCACTCTATGAGAAAGATACCTGCACGTGCATGCTTATTGTGCCATTATTCACAATAGCAAAAACATGGAACCACTCGTGCTGCCCATCGAAAGAGAACTGGATTAAAAAAAATGTGGTTCATATATCTATATGATGGAATATTACACAGTCATAAAGAAGGACAAAATTAGGAACTTTGCAGCAACTTGGATGGACTTAGAGTCTATGACACTGAGTGATCTATCACAGGAACAAAGAACTGAGTATTACATGTTCTCACTGGGAAACTGCCAGGGGAGGGATTGGTAGTAGTGGGAAACTGCCGGAGAGGAGTTGGCATACCCCATCAACAAGGGTACCTGCACGATGGACATTTGTATACCTAACTCTTCTACCCCATATCTTCAAAATAAATTTTTTTTTTCAAAAAGAATCAGAGCAAGGATGTACCATGACATTAATAGCATACCTCTGATTGTCTTGCAGCAAATTCCAGATGTGTCTCCAACAGGAAAATTCACAACTCTCTTGCCTTTGATGATTATTCTCATCTTTTCAGCCATCAAAGAGATTGTAGAAGATTATGTAAGTTTACTGTTAAACAATGAAATGCCCTCCAAAGCACTGCCCTGAACATAAAGTTGGTGTTTGTGACTCTTTTCTTCTCCCAGCAGTTGGTTGCTACAACTTTCAAAAGTCTGTAGTTGGTGTGAAGAGTGAATTACAGTTTTGAGGTTTCACATTTTAAAATTATGTACTCTGACTTCTACGGCTGAGATACTCACGGGACTACACAGCTGCCATTAAGGACTGCGAGAGTATCTTTGGGGACCTAATCTGTCCATAGGTGAAAGTCGTCTTCTTCTTCTTCTACCCTCCTCCACCCCATCCACCCTTTCTTCTTCTTCTTGTTGGAGTCTCACTCTGTTGCCCAGGCTGGAGTGCACTGTAGCCTCAACCTCCCGGGCTCAAGTGATCCTCCAACTTCAGCCTCCCAAGTAGCTGGGACTACAGGTGCAGGCCACCACTGCTTCTTCTCCTTCCCCTCCTCTTTCTTCTCTTCCTCTTCCTCCTCCTCCCTCTCCTCCTCTTCCTCCCTCCTTCCTTCTCCCTTGCCTCCTCCCCCTCCTCCTTCTTGTCAGAGTCTCACTCTGTTGCCCGGGCTGGAGCGCAGTAACATGATCACAGCTCACTGCAGCCTCGACCTCCTGGGCTCAAGTAATCCTCCAGCCTCAGCCTCCCAAGTAACTGGGACTATAGGCACGTGCCACTACATTCAGTTAGTTTTTTGGTTTTCATAGAGACGAGGTCTCCCTATGTTACCCAGGCTGGTCTTGAACTCCTGGCTTCAAGCAATCCTCCTGCCGTGGCCTCCCTGAGTGCTAGGATTACAGGTGTGAACCACCACACCTGGCCACATACGTGAATATTGTAAAGGCTAGAAGAGATGTGCCTGCAAATTGTGCTGCCTCTTCCTTGTCCTCCAGCCTTGTCACTGGCACAAGGAGATATTTCTTACTGTTTCCCGCTTGCCCTGACCCCACCTGCTCGGGTTCGAGTCCCTCTGTTTGAGGCTCCTTCCTCCATACCCACAATCCTGATGCTCCTCTTAGCAGTTGTCTTTTACGTGCTTCAGCCTGGTCCCTACCATCCTGTAGGGACACTTTGCCAGCAAAGTCTACACAGTTCTTGTCCCTTAGGCTGGCTAAGGGTCTTCAAGAACTTGTCAAACTTAACCAGAAACCTTGGGTTAAGTTGGGACAAAAATCCAGAATTGCTTATTATATGTTTAACCAAATGCAGTCTTTTTTTTTGCCTTAGGGTCTCACTGTTGCCTAGAATGGAGTGCAGTGGCATGATCACAGCTACTATAGCCTCGAACTCCTGGGCTGAAGCAATCCTCCCTCCTCAGCCTCCTGAGTAGCTGGAACTACAGGCATGCCCCACCATGCCCAGCTAACTTTTTAAATTTTTTTTTTTGTGGCGACAAGGTCTCACTGTGTTGCCAAGGCTGGTCTTGAACTCTTGGGCTCAAGAGATCCTTCTGCCTCAGTCTCTCAGAGGGCTGGGATTACAGGTGTGAGCTTCCACGCCTGGCCCAGATGTGATTATAAATAACATATAACATGCAAATATGTCAGATAGTAGTTACCATGTTCCAGGTACACTGTACTCCATCTATCTATCTATCTATCTATCTATCTATCTATCTATCTCTATTTATCACCTATCAATCAATCAATCATGTATCATCTATCTGTCAATCATCTATCTCCTGTCAATCATGTCTGTCTATACCTATCAATCATATATATATATTTATCTATCAATCATGTCTCATCTGGCTATCTATCATCTATCTGTCAATCATCTATCTATCTATCATCTAGCTACTTATCATCTATCAATCATCTAGCTATCATTTATCCATCATCTATCATCTACAATCGATCATCTGTCTGTCTGTCTGTCCATCTGTGCATTTATACTCATTTAAATTGGAGCACAAACAGGTCAGTGACCAGTGAGGCAGAGCTGGGATGCCACACCAGCGTGCTGGTGCCAGAGTCCCTGCTGCTACTTCACCACTGTGGCCGGCCCCTCCCTTCGGTCACATCTCCATTGAGGGAATCACATGAGGGCACAATGAAACTGAAATCAATGAAAGTCAGAGAGGACTTTACCCCTCGGTGGGCTGCCTCTATGCTTTCTTAAACCAATTATATCTTATCTTATAAATTATGTTATATTTATTTTGAGCTTTTGATGTAATACATTTTCCGCCCCATAGCAGAAACGACACATAGCAGATAAAAAAGTTAATACAAAGAATACAGTAGGTAAGCGTGATGGTTAATTTTGTGTGTCAACTTGAGTGAGTCAAACGTTAATCTGAGAGTTTCTGTGAGAGTGTTTTTTGAATGAGATTAACATTTAAATGGGCAGACTGAGCTGGGCATGGTGGTGTGCACCTGTAGTCTCAGCTACTCGGGAGGCTGAGTAGGAGGATCACCTGAGCCCAGGAGGCTGGGGCTGCTGTGAGCTGTGATTGTGCTACTGCACTCCAGCCTGGGTGACAGAGCAAGACCCCAACTCAGACAAAGAACATGGCTGAAACATGGACCAAAAGGCGGTTCACAGTGGTTAAGCTAGAAATTCCAAACTGCCATGGCTTAATGTAGAAGACAGGACCGACAGGCTTAGGATGATTGAAATGTTAGCATGGATTTGTCATTTAAGACCTACTCACCCGCCCTGGAGTGGTCCACAAAATACCTTTCACCACAGTGGTGAGAAATCTGTGTGGTTGCTTTTTTCTAAGGGCAGACCTTAGAGTTGGAACTACGGACACCAAATTGGGAAACCTAAATGCAGTGAGAATAATTGGATCCCAGGGTGACCTGGGCCAAGTGGCATTGCCCAGTCACCAAGCGCAAGGTGACTGTGGTTACCATGATGGACAGCAGAGTCAACACAGCAATCAAAATAGTCTGACTTCCAGAAACCTATAGCATGGCTAGTTGCTGGGTTCCCTTGAGGAAAGACCTGGTACGTTGCCAAAAAGTTATTCTGTTACTATTTCTCCCAGCCTCCCCCCAAAGGGACCTGTGGCCCTTTACCAAGGTAACTGTGCATTGGGGGACTGTTGGACGCTGGTCCTGAACGGACACGGATTTCGGCAGACCCCACATGTCACTGTGGTCCTCCAGAAGGAGCAGGGGTTTATGGGTCGGGCGATCAATGGAGGTTTTGCCTAAGTCTGTCTCACAGTTGATCCAGTGGGTCCCCAAACCTATCCTGAGTTTCTTCCCTGGTTCCAGAATGCTCGATTGGAATATACATACTCAAACGGCTGACAGAATCCCCATCTTGTTAATACACTCCTCACTGTCGAGTGAGGCCTACTCTGGTAGGAGAGACCAGTGGAAGTCACCAGAACTTCCCCTACCTGGAGCAATAGTAAGCCAGAAGCAAAGCACATTCCTGGGGGGACTTGAAAGATTCAGGGGTGGCGGGTCCTACCACCTCCGCGTGGCCTGAGCAGAAGACAGGTAGACCTTGGAGAATGGCTGGGAGGTATCACAGCTCAACGAGGTGGGGCCTCCAATGGCATCCGCTGTACCAGATGCGGCTTGATGGCTTGAGCGAGTGAACACATCCCTCGGTACCTGGTATCAACTGTTGGCCCAGCAAATGCCTTCTTCTCTCATTCTTATTACCAAAGACCACTGGAAGAAGCTCGCTTTCCACTGGCTTTACAGGCAAGACGCTGTTCTGTCTCCGGACGATGTCACCTCTCAAGTCCAAGGTTGTAGTCTCTTTTCTTTTCTTTATTTTATTGTAAAGATATGGGATACAAGTTAGGATTAGGTATATATGTAGTCTACGTGCAGGTGAAGTTTGGACCTCCCACTGGTCCTCACATCCCCTGATTTGGGATCAGGAATCCTTGGTGATGTCACATGCACCCCCCCTCCCCCGGCAGTGTCCTGCTACTGTCTATCTCTCTCTTATGGTATTGTGATAAATGTTCAGGGTCTGCTTATGAGTGAGAACATGTGGTACTCAGTTCTGTGTTTCTGTGAAAGATCAGAGTACAATGGAGTCTAAATCCATGTTGCTGCGAAGTCCATAATTTTGTCCTTTTTTATGGCTGCGTAATATTCCACTGTGTATACGTACCATAATTTATTTATAGAGCCCTGGGTCATAATCTAGTTCACAGGAATCTCAATCACCGTTCACTTCCACAGGACGTCACCCTGATGACATTAGGCTGGACAGGCCTCGGGAGTGAGAAGTAGCAACCACTCTTATCAGCAAGACATTTGTGTGTCTGAGGGTGGGAAATAAACCCAACAAAAATTCAAGACCTTCTACCTCGGTGAAATTCCAAGGGGTCGAGTGGTATGACATATGTCATGATACACCTTCCAGGGTGAAGGACAGGCCATTGTATTGGGTGCCTTCCACAACCGAGAAGGGGGCCCAATGCGTAGTGGGCCTCTTTGGACTTTGGCGGCAACATAGTCTTCATCTGCGAGTGCTACTCTGGCCCATTTACTGAGTGACCCCAAAAGTTGCTAGTTTTGAGGGGAGCCCAGAACAGAAGGCCAAGCTGCTGTGCCACTTGGGCCATGTGACCCAGAAGACCCAATGGTGCCTGAAGTGTTAGTGGCGGAGAGGCATGCTGTTTGGAGCCTTTGGCTGGCCCCTGCAGGCGAACTCTAGTGCAGGCACCTAGGGTTTTAGAGCGAAGCCCTACTATGTACTGTGGACAGCTACTTTCCCTTTGAGAAACTGCTATTGGCCCATGATTGGTCTTAGCAGAGAATGTCCACTCAACCGTGGGCTACCAAGTTACCATGCAACTTGAACTGGCTGTTGTGACTGTGACAGGGGTGTTACCAGGCCCATCAAGCAGGGAAGCTGGGTGTGTACGGTGGCGCTTCATGCCAAAAGGAAGTGGTATATACAAGATTGGGCCTGTGCAGGCCGTGATGCCCAGTGATGTCACAGGAAGAAGTGACCCAATGCCCATGGCTCCCACTCCTGCCACACTGGCTTCTCTCCCCTGCACCCATGGCCCCTTGGGAGTTCCCCATAGCCAGCTGGAAGAAGACGAGACGCCTCGGGCCTTGACTACAGATGGTTCTGTACAATGTGCTTACACTACTTGGATGTGGAAAACTAGAGCCCTAGGCCCCTCTCTGGGACATCCCTGAAAGACAGTGGGGAGGAGACGTCCTCCCAGGGGCCGAACTTTGAGCAGTGCACCTTATTCTTCATGTTGCTTGGAAGGAGACATGACTAGATGTTCGATTCCATGTTGATTCGTGAGCTGTGTGACCAATGACTTGGCTGGATGGTCAGGAGTATGGAAAACATGACTGGAAAATTGATGACAAGGAAATCTGGGGAAGAAGTCTGTGGATAGATGAAAGAGTGAAAAACATGAAGATATTTGTGTCCCATGTGCATGCTCACCAAAGGGTGACCTCAGCAGAGAAGGATTTTGCTTTATTTTAACTTTATTTTATTTTATGAGTTGGGGCCTCACTCTGTTGCCCAGGATGGAGTGCAGTGGCACAATCATGGCTCACTGACCCTTGACCTCTTGGGATCAGATGATCTTCCCTTCTCAGCCTCTCGAGTAGTTGGGACTATAGGCCCACGCCACCACATCTAGCTAATTGCACAACAATTTTTTTTGGTAGAGATGAGGTCTCTCTCTGTTTCCCAGACTGGTCTTGAACACTTGGCCTCAAGTGATCCTCCTGCCTTGTCCTCTAAAATGCTGGGCTTTCAAGTGTGAGTCACCATGCCCAGCCTAGAGGAGGATTTTAATAATTGGATCGACAGGATTATCTGTTCTGTGGATACTAGCCATCCTCTTTCCCAGCTACCCCGTCATCACCTCATGAGCTCATGAGCAATTAGCCAGGGTAGCAGGGATGGTGGTTATGCCTGGGCTCAGCAACACAGACTCCCAAGGCTGACTTGGCTATAGCCTCTGCCAAGTGTCCCATATGCCAGCAGCAGAAACCAACACTGAGCTTCATTCCTTGGAATGATCAGCCAGATATCTAGTGGCAGGTTGATTGCATTAGGCTGATTTCATCACAGACAACAAGGCAGCTTTTTTGTTTTTTGTTTTTTTTTTAGTCAGTGTCTCACTCTGCCGTTGAGGCTGGAGTGCAGTGGTACGATCATGGCTCACTGCATCCTTGACCTCCTGGGTTCAGAAGATCCTCCCTCCTCAGTCTCCCAAATGGCTGGGGCTACAGGCATATACCACCACACCCAGCTAATTTTTTGATTTTTTTTTTTTTGTAGCAATGAAGTCTGGCTATATTGCCCAGGCTGAGAGGCAGCATTTTGTTGTTACGGAGCAGACACTATGGATACAAATGTGCACTCTCTGCATGCAATACTTCTGCCAAAACTACCATCCATGGACTTACAGGAGATCTTATCCATTGTCATGGTATTCCACACAGCATCGTTTTTGACCAAGGAACTCACACCACAGTGAATGAAGTATGGCAATGGGCTTCTGCTCACAGAACTCACTAGTCTCCCCATGTTCCCCTTCACCCAGAAGCCACTGACTTGATAGAATGATGGAACAGTCTTTGTGAAGACTCAGCTGAACCCCCGCTAGGCGGCAATACCTTGCAGGTCTGGGACAAAGTCTCCAGTTATTGTGGCACTGCTTCCCTCATAACCAGGATTCACAGGTCCAGGAATCAAGGGGTGGGAATGAGAGTGGCACCACTCACTGTTACCTCTGGTGAGCTACTAGCAAAATGTTTGTTTCCTGTTGCTGCAACCGTACTATCTGCTGGCCTGGTGTCTTAGTTCCAAAGGCAGGAATGCTTCTACCAGGAGGCACAATGATTGCATTCCATTGGTTCTGTTTTTCTGGAGATCCCTAGTACAGTAAGACATTAGGTTGAGCTTTTATTTCCCCTGCACCATGAGAAAAGATCTAATTGTCCAGGTACATACATGCAATATGTTTTATAATAATTAAGACAAATGTTTTATAGAATATTTTAAATAACTATAGAAACAAAGAACAAAAATCAGAAGGAAATGCAGTTTTCATATATTAGAATCAATAATGATGTTAATTAGAATAAAAGAAAATAAAACTATGGGAAGGATGGAATGGTCAATATATGAACAACTATGTTCATAAGATGATCTGGGTGTTACATATTCTCTCCCAGGTATCTTTTCTGTAGAATGATTTGTGCTTCTCTGGGTATATTTCCAGGAGGGAGATTGTTGGATTGTGTGGAAGGTCAATTTCTAGTTTCTTTGGATATTGCCATACTATTTTCCATAGAGATTGGACTAGTTTGTACTCCCACCAGCAATGTAGAAGTGTCCCCTTTTCTCCTCACCCATGCCAGCTTCTATTGTTTTTTGATTTATTAATGATGGTCATTCTTACTCGAGTAAGGTGGCATTTCAGTGTGGTTTTGAGTTGCATTTCTCTGATGATTAGTGAAGCTGTATTTCACCATTTTAGTATAGGGCATATAAACACAATTTACATACTCTGGCAGTGTATGTAAATGTTAAATGAACAAAAATAACATTTTACAAGGAAATCCGTTCTGTTTTTGAGAAAATGTATCTTTTATTATTGTGAACTTTACCTAATTCAGTAATTACAATGAACAATGAGATGTTTCTTTTTCAAGTGTTAAGACAAGATTCATGGCATGTGATTAAGTGGGAAGAGGTAAGAATATATTTTAACTTTTAATTTGCTAATAAGCATCTGCCTTATATCTCAAGATACACACTTTTATCTGTAAAGCATGTCTTCAAGAACTGTGATATCACCTCCATTTGGTAGACAAGGAAGTAGAGGGTCAAAGGCATTATGTATCTTGTTCAAGGTCACACCGCTAGTAAGTAGTGGACCATATATGGGCTTTCTAATGCACCTTGGTATTATCTCTGTGTCATTGCATAGTATATTTAAAGATAGTGCTTCGCAAAGTGTTGCTCATGGTACAAGCCCACATTTATGTGGTGAACATCCCAGGGAATATTGTTATGAATGTCTACTCTTGAAATATGTCTTGGTCCATTTGAGCTGCTACAGCAAAATATTTTTGATGGAGTAATTTATACACAACAGGAATGTATTTGTCAGAGTTCTGAAAGCCAGGAAGTCAAGATCAAGGCACAGCAGTGTTGTGTGAGGGTCCACTTCTCTATAGAGGGTGCTTTCTAACTGTTCTTACATGAGGGAAGGGGTAAGGCTGCTCTTTGGGGTCCTCTTTCTAATCTCACTCATGAGGGCTCTACCTTCATGACCTAATCACCTCCCAAAGACCCCACCTCCTAATATTGTCACATGGGGGTTAGCATTTCAACCTACGAATTTTGAGTGAACACAAGTGTTCAGATCATGGGAGGATATAAGTTAAAGGCATATTGATCATGTTTGAGACTAGATATTGACTTTGTCCTTATCAATAAGTAATCACTGACCCAAGTAAGATTCCTTGGAAAGCTGATGTTAAGAACGTTTCAATTTCTGGCTGAGCGCCATGGCTCACGCCTATATTCCCAGCACTTTGGGAGGCTAAGGTGGGAGAATCACTTGAGCCCAGGAGTTCGAGGCCAGCCTGGGCAACATAGTAAGACCTTGTCTCTTCAAAAAAATAAAAAGGTTAACTGGGTGTGGTGGTGCATGTCTGTAGCCCCAGCTACTTGGGAGACTGAGGAGGGAGGATTGCTTGAACCCAAGACTTTGAGGCTGTGGTGAACTGTGATTGCACTCCAGCCTGGGCACCAGAGTGAGACCCCAACTCAAAAAAAAAAAAAAAAGAATGACTCGATTTCTAAGCATCATCAAAATTTCTTTCCCTGAGGGAGATAAACCAGGTGGCTCAATAATGGTTGCCCTTTGCTTCTCTCACAGGCCCTCAGAGAAATAAGCCACTGAGAGCTGACAGTACTTTTCCAGTGGCAGAGTCTCAGCGCATTCACGAAGGGCAGTGAGCTTCCTGAGACAGGAGGCAGGGGCAGAGGAGAGGCGGGGAGGCTGCCACAGTGGATTTCTTGTCGGGCAGAGTACAGTGGCGTTGCAGCTCACCCCAATGCTTTGCCCGGGCAGAGCGAGTTACGCAGCCCAAGCCTGGGACCCCGACTTGTCATTCCTCTGAGTCCTTTGCATGGCACAGTCACAGGGAGCACTTTGAACATGAGGAGCTTAAGAAAGGAAAAAGGAATTAGTCTGGGGCTCCAGTGGACAGAGAAGAAAAAGAGAATCTCTAAGAGATGGAATGGTAATGACTGTTCAGTAAGCTTGCTTTCGGGTCCCCAGGTACACAATCTTCTGCATCAGTATTGTTTTCTGGGGAAAATCTGGTGGGTTTTTTGCTTGTTTTGTTTTTAGTCGGGATCTCACTCTGTTGTCCAGGCTGAAGTACACGATCGTGGCTCACTACAGCCTCCACCTCCTGGGCTCAGGTGATCCTTCCACCTCAGCCTCCCGAGTAGCTGGGGCATCAGGTGTGCACCATCTTGCCTGACAAGATTTTTAATTTTTTTGTAGATATGGGGTCTCAATATGTTGCCCAGGCTGGTCAGAAAATCTAGTTTTAATTGCCAACTAAGTTTGAACTTATAGTCTTTCTTTGACCTTGTTGTAAGTTAGTTTTTATATCAATTATAACTGCTTCCTTATCTATCACATTGAGAACCTTGTGTAAGGTGTGAGTGTTTCACTGCCAATCTTTTCTTCTCTAATGTTGAACTTGTCCTCTATGCTTTAAAGACATATAGCAGCCTTTAAGCTCCTTGCTTTGATTCAAAAGTATTTATCTGTGGCTCCATTGATTAAGACCGAAATGATCTGCTTAATCATATTATACAAGGAAAAATCCAGCATCCTTCTTCTTTGTCTCTTCAACAAGATGTTATTATTTTTTCAATATGGGTCCAGAGATTGGTTTAGGAACAATTCTGACTCCCTGCTGTCCTAGCTGCCTGGAGAGGGCCTGCCACTTTAAGAGTTATGGCATCACTGGGCACGGTGGCTCACACCTGTCATCCCAGCACTTTGGGAGGCAGAGGCGAGAGGATTCCCTGAACTCAGGGGTTCGAGACTAGCCTGAGTAACATGGCAAGACCTCGTCTCTACAATAAACCAAAAAAAAAAAAAAAAAACCAGCCAGGTGTGGTAGCACATGCCTGTAGTTCCAGCTACTTGGAAGGCTGAGGCGGAAGGATCGCCTGAGCCCAGCAGGTTGAAGCTGCGGTGGCCGTGAGCGTTCCACTGCACTCTAGCCTGGGCAACAGAGTGACACTCTGACTCAAAATAAAATAAAAATAAAATAAAATAAAATAGTTATGTCACCAATGTTTGACACAGCATAAAGTTTTCAGGGGTTTGCTGAAAAGTAAACAGTCAAGAAAAAAGTATCAAGAGTTCAGAATGCTTCTCTGTGGATTGCTCCTGGTGTTCATGCGTCTCTCTCTTACTTGCAAGTTAGATTTTGTCCGTGCCTTCAGTCGTTCACTCACACATTCAGGGTTCACCACAGGGCAAGCACTTTGCTAGGTCTGGCATTCACCTGGAAGTGAGACAGGCAGGGCAGCGAGGGAGAGGGACCTTTTAGCAAGCAACTGCATTATGAGTGTGTGTGTGTGAGTGTGCGTGTGTGTGTGTGTGTGTGTGTGTGTGTGTGTGTGTGTGGCTACCCCGTTGCTGCAAAACCAGCACCACCGAAAGGCCCGATTGAGGCCCGTCTCTTCTGTACCTTTCTTTCAGTGTTGAAACATTTCATCCTGGACCAGGATCTGTCACTGTGGCACTATGTACATCTCACACTGGGTCATTCTCCATTGGAGGGGCAGTCCTGGGCACTGTGGGGTGTTTAGCAGCACCCTTGGCCTCCATCCACTAGATGGCAGTAGCCTCATCCCCCTCACCCTTACTGTTGTGAAGACAAAAAATGTCTTCAGACACTGCCAAACAATCGGGGGGAGGGGGGATAGGTAGGGGGAGTAAAGGGGAATGGGATGGCAGACTCGCTGGTGATTAAGAGGAACTATGTTGATAGCAAAAACATGGAACCAACCGTGCTGCCTGTCAAAGTGGACTGGATTAAAAAATGTGAGACATATATACAATGGAATAGTATGCAGCCATCAAGGACAAAATTATGAACCTGGTAGCAATTTGGATGAATTTAGAGTCCATCATGCTCAGTGATCTATCACAGAGACAAAGAATTGAGTACCACATGTGCTTACTCATAAAGTGGACCCTGAACATTTAGCATAACACTACATTAAAGGGATTAGTGGTAGCAAGTCACTGCCAGGAGGAGGTGGGGGCACATAACACTAATAAGGGTACCTGATCTCCAACCAGGCCAATGGGAGGCCCAAACTTCACCTGTATGATGACTACTTATGTACCTAACCCTGAAATCAATCAAGCAAACAAACAAAACCACACTGGGCACTGTGAAGAAAAAGTCATGGCAAATTGAAAAAAGAAGAATAACTGCTTTGGAGGAATAATTCCATCAGGAAATAAAATAATTCGAATGTAGCTGAAATGTATCAGGATGACTAAGAGATCTTCATATTGCACTTGAGAGCATTGGACACGTTTAGCCTCTGTGCTTCTGAGATTCATGCTTCCATCTTCTCTCTCCTGGTTTAAAAGGTGAACGTGAGCCGGGCTCGGTGGCTCAGCCTGTGATCCCGCGCCTTTGGGAGGCTGAGGTGAGTGGATTGCCTGAGCCTGCGGGTCCGAGACCCGCCCGGGCAGGTGAGACCTCATCTCTACAATAAAATCAAAAAATTAGCCAGGCGTGGTAGCGCGTGCCTGTAATTCCAGCTACTTGGAAGGCTGAGATGGAAGGATCGTCGGAGCCCAGCGGATCGAGGCTGTGGTGGCCGGGAGCGGCCACTGCACTCAGTCTGGGTGACAGAGTGAGACTCCAACTCAAAAAATAAAAAAATAAAAAATAAAAGGTGAACGTGGGTGACATTGTGAAGGCCTTCAACGGGGAGTTCCTTACTGCAGACATGGTCCTGATTTCTTCCAGGTTAGTTTTATTGGTGGGCATGTAGGGAACTTTTATTCTGAGTTGGAAATTTTAAGAACGCCCAAGGCTGGGCTCGGTGGCTCAGCCTGTAATCCTAGCTCTTTAGGAGACAGAGGTAAGTGGATTGCTTGAGTCTGTGGGTTCGAGACCAGCCCAGGAAACTTGGTGAGACCTCATCTCTACAATAAATAAAAAATGAACTGGGCATGGTAATGTGCACTTGTAGTTCTGGCTACTTGAAAGGCTGAGGCAGAAGGATCACCGGAGCCCAGCAGATCAGTGCTGGGGTGGCGATGAGTGTGCCACTGCACTGTAGCCTAGGTGATGGAGTGAGACTCCAACTCAAAAAAAAAAAAAGAATGTCCAAGGCAGAAGTCACACTTTTTTTCCCTCATTTTTTTCACCTTATTGTAGACCAGTGGTTGCAAACCTTTTCTGTAAAGGGACAGAAAGTAACCATGTTCCGTTTTGTGGTCCCTGCAGTCTCTCTTACCACTCTTCGACTCAGTCTTTATTATGTCAAAAGCAGCCACAGGCTATCAGTAAATAAATGGGTGTGGTCGTGTTCCAATAAAACTTTATAAAAACAGCTGTGGGTCAGATTTGGCCTATGGGCCACAGGACACTGACCTTTGTTTCATACTTTTATAACCTTTTCTTTAATTTCCCTGGATGTATTTTTTTTCTATCTTAATTCTTGGCTCAGTTTCATTCCTTCTATAATTCCTGCAGACATTCAACTAAACTTAAAAAAAAATTATACTTATCTCATTTAGTTTTCACGGCGAACCTGAGGTATTTCTATTCTGTAAGAATACTGACTCACACAGAGATTCATGTTAAGACCCATATTCCCATGTTTCAAAGCAGAGCTCTTTTAACGGGGATCTCTATTGCTTTATTCACCAGCTCTTTCAGATAAAACGTACACAGAGACCCCCTAGAGTAGATATTTCCTTCCCATTGGGTCTGAATTTGCCACCTCCCCTTTGGTTTCCCTGTTGGGCCCCCAGGAGCTCAGCTGTCCTTCCCCATGGTGCTGTAAGACATATGGGTGGTCTGGGGCTTCAGAGGAACCACAGTCATCAACATGCCTGCACTTGACATGGTGGGCAAGCTGGGTCCCCAGGTCAAGTCACTGTTACCTCAAAGGGACCCAAAACGTGTCCCCAGCTTTCAAGACATACCTTCTGTTGGAGCACGGAAGGGAGGCAGATTAGTCCTGGGGCCATTCTCCAAGCTTCTGGAAAAGCATCACAACACCACAGGCTCTTTTGCCATCCAAAATCCATCACTCCATCCGCTCTGTCAACAAAGGAACTTCACTGTTGTGGATGTCTGTTTCCCTCCTGGATTTGCCTGGGAGTATGGGGTTGACCCAGAGGCCACAGAGATACCATAAGAGGTTTTGTTTTATAACCTCTATATCATTTTTATGTGTATCTTTGCCTCTTCTTTACTTCCAATAAAATACTGCTATTATCAGAACTGTATTTTGCGGGGGGAGGAAGGGGGAGGACAAAATGTATTATTCTTAGACTTTTTTGGGAGGCACTTTTGTAGGTTATATTTTCTAAGTGATTTTCCCTGCCCCCATACAAGTAACAAAGGCGCGCGCGCGCACATACACACCCCTACATGCTTGAGCTGGCATGAATGTAAGAAAACCAGAGAGCCCAGAATGAACTGGAATCCTATAGTCCCTGGAAGGTAATCTCCGCCCTGCCAACACAGGCCTTTTCCACCAAACTCCAAGAACTAGAGCTTCTGTTTTGTTGATGTAGGGAGTACAAAGGCCGAGGAACAGAGAAAAGGGGATACTCCCATGAGAAGAAACTTACTGTATCCTGGCCTTCCAAATGAATTTATATTTTTAATATTAGATATATTCTATATCTAATGTATATTGCAATATAAATAATATATTTGTCATTACTTGGGGGTATATGATCCTAGCCAGTTAAATGAATACAGATTATCTTGCTTCAAACCTGATATTTCAGTGAATAAGATAAAAAGAGATAAAAAAGAGATAAGTCAGAATGTAAGAGGCAATGAACTTTGATGGGCAATGTTTGTTATTGTTTGTGATTTTTCCTCCAAAATGATTTGTTTTCTTTTCTTTTTTGAGTCAAGGTCTCACTCTGTCACCCAGGCTGCAGTGGCACAGTCATGGCCACCACAGCCTCGACCTGTTAGGCTCAGGTGATCCTTCCACCTCAGTCTTCCAGGTAGCTAGAACCACAGGCGTGCGCTGCCACGGCTGGCTAATTTTTGACTGGTTATAGAGACAGGGTCTCGCCATGGTGCCCAGGCTGGTCTCCAACCCGTGGGGTCAGGCATTCTTGTCACCTCTGCCTCCCAAAGTGATGGGATGACAGGCTTGAACCACTACGCCTGGCGATTGATTTTCATAAATGAGTTGACATTAAACATGGAAGAAATGTTTGTTAATTCAGTGCCTTGACTTCCTAACTGTTGAGGTTAAGTGGAGACAGAATTCCCAAGCGCAGCTGTTACCTGCTCATAGTTTTTTATCCTCCTGGAAAACACTTCAGACATGTGGCTCATGCTTCCCACTCCTGCAAGCCTCGGTTTAAGCATTGTTTTATCACAAAGGCCATCTCCTACCCCTACTTCATTCTCTATTTTCTATCCCTACTTTTATTCTTCTTTATGTCTCAGGGACTCTGCTGTGACCATGCCTGTCCTGAAGGATTTACTCCCATCCAGAAGGCCACAGAGCCTTTTTCTTTACAACGAACTCTATTTAGAAAATAACAGAATTTTAGACTTGACCTTAGACGTGACTGTTCTGAACTTTGTAAATCTGTTCATCCTCAGCAATTTCCCTTTTTGAGGTTAAGGAGTAATCACACAGGACTGTAAGGGTAGAAGCTGTTCTGTTCAACTTTCTGCAAGGTGGATTTTAGGCTGGTAGGATCAGACTGCTAATATCTTCTGGCAAGGTAGTTGTTTGTAGTCCTTTCTGTTTTGAAGAATGGTTATGGATGTGAGTCTTGCTTCATGTGTACCATTACCAGGAAAATAATTTGATGGAGATATTAACTCAATATTATTTATTTTTATTTTCCTAGTGAGCCTCAGTCGATGTGTTACATAGAAACATCTAACCTGGATGGAGAGACTAACCTAAAGATATGGCAGGTGAACACACCTTTTCTTATCCTAATTTTACATCTTAAGCCCACAGTGTGAAGTTTTGTTGGGCACTAGCTTTTTTTTTTCTTTCCAGAAACAAAATTATCTCACCACAATTGAATGAATGTAATTTATCCTCATCAGATATTTAAACAGTATATCATCATCATCATCATCATCATCATTATTATTGGAAACTGGGTGAATGTGTTACTATCGCTATAAAAATTTGGGTTATAAAATTCAGATCATAAAGAATTAACACACCTTTAGGCATGTTGTTTTGAAGCTATTTCTGTTAGTGCTTTGGTGATAAAAGTGCTGTCATGGCTAAATATCACAGCTGGATTTAAAGGAGGAGAGGTGCGAATTACAAATGTGCTTGAAAATGTAAGAAGTCTCATAATCGTATGCATCATTGCTTTTAAAATGGAAGTCTCAGGGAGGCCACTTGTGCCTGAATTTGAAAAGAAGGTGGGTCAGAGTGTGTGTTTAAGTGTTTCCAGCTGAGATGATCTGAGTGCACCCACCTGCTGTGTTGAGTTCTCACACCCTCGTCAACTGAGGGCAGCAGAGAAACTTTTTTTTTTTTTTTTTGAGTTGGAGTCTCACTCTGTCGCCCAGACTGGAGTGCAGTGGCCGCTCCCGGCCACCGCAGCCTCGACCTGCTGGGCTCCGGCGATTCTTCCACCTCAGTCTTCCAAGTAGCCGGAATTACAGGCATGCACTACCATGCCCAGCTGATTTTTTTATTTATTGTAGAGATGAGGTCTCGCTGCCCAGGCGGGTCTCGAACCCGCGGGCTCAGGCAATCCACTCACCTCAGCCTCCCAAAGCGCGGGATTACAGGCTGAGCAACCGAGCCCGGCTAGCAGAGAAACTTTAATGACAGACTGGACCATGAGGAAACAGCCACTCTATCTATATTATTTTTTCACATATGGCATTCATTGTCTTTTGATTTTTAGCAAACACAAGAAAACCATTTTGATTACTAAAAAAAAAAGTATCTATGTATTCACACACATATATAATGAAAATAAAATTACTATTTTAATTTCACAGCAGCTTATGATTATGAATGCAAGAAGGTGGTTTTCCAATGAACTTTTTATTACTGGGAAAAATACATTGATCTTTAGAATAATTTATCCTCTGCTTTATTAGTTTGCTTAGTAAAAAAAAACTCTTCTGATTTTACATCTGATTATTCACGTTTGTTTGCTAATATTTTTTGTAAACTTTAATTGAAAATGGAAACAATTAGAACTTTTCAAAGTAACGTACCATCTTTGTAAAAATAATATAAATAATACAGAAACATACAGAGTCTCTTTAACCCTTCCTACCTCCCAGATTTCACATTTATTCTTAATGGTAGTCATTGTAATAGTTTGGTGGTACCTTCCAGATTTTAAAAAATGCTATTGCAGACTTAGGTTTCTGGAAGATGGAATATACAAACTATTCCCTATTTTTCCTGCTAAGAACAACTAACAATTTTGGGTAAGATTTAGAAAACAGACATTAGAAGACTCTGAAAGAATGGAAGGAGGCAGACTGGTGAGGGACCTTGGACTCCAGGGAACAACAGGGTGGATGAGTTCCCTGAGTTTTCCTTTTGTCTCATATATTTCAGGCTTGGAATGGAAGAAGTCAGAAACCCAGAGAGATCAATGGACACAGACAAAAAACAACAACAACAACAAACCCAACAAAAGCCTGCTCTCTCTAGTCAAAGGATCAGAAAATGGGCAGCCTAGCAAGACAGAAAACTTTTAGACAATAGCCACTTTACATCAGCCAAACACCATTGTGAAAATATGGCCCCATTCCCACCCATGCCTGCAAAGGTTGAGTAGAGTGCCTAGACTTCTAGGCTGTAGTGAGGCACCCTTACTCCCTTATAAGGGTGGTGTCACAGGAAGCCAAACAGAGAGACAGGACTTTCATTTCTGCCAGGCGGTAATGACGTCCTTCCCTCCTTTCACTGTGCCAGTGGAGACCATGTGGACAGCAGAAACAGGGCATTCCAATTCCTTCATGCCAGGAGGTATCACTGAATTTCTGCAGGAGAGACAGAACTTCCACCTTAGCCCAGCTGTAACAAGGAGCCCCTCCTTGGCTGTTAAAAGAGGCCAAGTGAACAACTTGTACATTACCCCTGTTTTGCAATCATGAGGCAATTCCCCCTTCTGCCATTGGAGCTGTGTCAGAGAAAGCCAGATAAAACAGATTTAAATGATCTTCAGAGTCTCCCAACATAGTACTCAAAATGTCCAGGTTTTATTGAAAGTAATACATCATATCAAAAACCAGGAAGATCTCAAAGTTGATGAAAAAAGACAGTGGACTCCAAGATTACAGAATTTACAATGATCTGACAGAGACTTTAAAGCATCTATCATAAGAAAGCTTCAGGGAGCAATTGCAATGTGCTTGAAACAAGTGGAAATATAAAATGTCTCAGCTAATAAATAGAAAATTCCAGCAAAGAAATAGAATATATAAAGAACTGAATAGAAATTCTATCAATTAAAAATGTAATAACTGAAATTTTAAAAATCCTTAAATGATAGGTTTAACAGCAAATGGAAGGAATGGAAGAAATAAACAGTGAAATGAAAGACAAAACCATAGAAATTACCCAGTTTGAACAACATGGTGTGTGGGGGCCTGCTCCCGCCCGGTGTGGGATTTCCTGAAGAAGATATAGAGTAGGCGAAAGAAGGAACTTACGACGAAATAATATACTACTTGGACACCTGCTTGCAGACCAGAGACCAGATGACATTTAATGTTAGTTAACAGAAAGCTTTTATACCATTCATAAAGGGGCAAGACAAAGAAAATTCCTTCACGTACATATCCTTTAAAAGTTACCACCATCTAACGGTCTAGAAGCAACAAAAAAGCCAAGAACACTATCTGCTTTCAGTCAATAAGTCTTTTTCATAAAGCCAAAAATGATAGTTTTAGTCCAAAGTCCCAAATTACAGTCCTTGAAGTGCTTCAAGAAAGTTTCCAGGTGCACAGTTCTCCATGTAGCAGGAGTTTTCTCTCTGGGGCTTCTATGACCTTCAAAGCTTCGTAATTGCCTTTCTTGTTCAGGTGTCTTGGTTACTTTTCTCTTATCCTGCAGTGTGTATTTCTAAAAAAAACTTAAAGAAGCTTTTAGTGATGTTTCCCAGGCCCCCAAGGTTGCTCTCTGTATTTAGTTCATTTATCATAAAATTATCCAATTAATATATTATGAATTCAGTGAAAACCTACTCTATAAACATTAACTTAGAATTTTAACTATTGAATTAAGTAAAAACCTTAACGATTAATCTTCATCCTAAATCTGTGAAAACAGTGTTATAAATCACCTATATAACTTCTAGATAAGTGTTAGAACTTATAATGAATTCATAATGAACTACATAATGAACTACATAATTATAATGAATTCATAATGAACTACATAATTCTAAATCAAATAAGGAGTGAATATACTTATCATTTTTTACTCAAGCAATATCTAGTAACTTATAACCAAGTAAAAGAAAGAATTCTTGATGTGCTTCAGAGTTTAACCATTGCATATGTTAGAAGAGGCCAAACGGCATAGTGGGAAGTGGAAAAATGAACCATGACATTCCCAGGTTAGCTGTGAGTACTTCACATAAACATGCCATTTTCTTCTTCCATGACTGCACAGAATTCTTCGGCCGTACCAACGATAAAGGTGGAAGACAGAAGGGCCTCAGCTTCCCGGGATCGCCCTGTGGCCCGGGTTCTTCGGCCCACCAGGACCCTGTCAATCAGGTGAGCCTCCAAGTCTGGCTCCCAACAATGGTGGAAACAGACTGAAAAAAAAATCAGGTTGCAGAGATCTGTGGAAATATAACCAAACAGCTAACTTTCATGTCACCAGAGTCTTAGAAGGAGAACAGGGAAGAACAATGTGGCTGAAAACTTCCCAAATTTGTCAAAAAATATAAACTATAGACACAACAAAGTGAACAAACAAAAAAGGATAAATCCAAAGAAATCCATACCAAGATATTTCATAGTCAAACTTCTGAAACAAAGAAAAAGATTTTGAAAACAGTGAGAGCAAAATGACTACCTATAGGAGACAGACAATTTGAATAACAACAGATTTCTCATTAAAAACCATGAACATTGGGAGAAAGTAGCACATCCTTTTTCAAGGCTGAAAGAGAAGAACTGTCAGCCCAGAATTGTATCCAACAAAAACATATTTCAAGGATGAAGAAGAAATTAAGACATTCTCAAACAAAGGGAAAGTAGAATTTGTTGCCAGAAGACCTAAAAGAATGGCTAAAGGAAGGTCTCTAAACAGAAAGGGAACAATAAAGAAAGAAAAAGAAAAAAAGAAGAAAAACATGATAAGCAAAAATAAGGCTAAATACTACTATTAACAATAGCAAAAACATGGAACCAACCTTGCTGCCCATTGAAAGTGAACTGGATTTAAAAAGTATGATATATATATATGATAGAGTATTATGCAGCCATGAAGAAGGACAAAATTATGGACTTTGCAGCAACTTGGATGGATTTAGAGTCTATCATACTCAGTGATCTTTCTCAGAAACAAAGAACTGAATACCACATGTTCTTGCTCATATGTGGATCCTGAACATTTATCATAATACTACAAGAAAGGGATCGGCAGCAGTGGGACACTGCCAGGGGAGGGAGGGGGGAGCACATAACATCAATAAAGGTGCCTGGTCCTAAACCAGGGGACATGAGGACCAGTGAGAGGCCCAAACTTCACCTGCACGTAGACCACTTATGTACCTAATCCTGATTTGTACCCCACATCTTTAGAATAAAATAAAGAAAAAAGAAATAAGGCTAAATACAATAAGCTTCTTTCTTTTGAGTTTTCTAAGTTATGTCTGATGGTTGAAGTAAAAATTATAAAACTCTGATGTGGTTCTAAATGTATGTACAAAAATTATTTAAGGTATATACTATACTGGAGAGGGTAAAAGGACATAAAAGGATGTTATACTTCTATACTTTATACAAACTTGTAAAATGATGACATAAATAGACTGAGAAGTCATGTATGGATAATGTAATACTTAGAGCAACCATTAACATAACTATATAAAGAGATACACTAAAAAACACTATTGGTAAATCAAAATAGAATTCTAAAAACCATTAAGGTAACCCACAGGAAGTCAGGAAAAGCAAAATAAAACAAAACAAAAACTAGGTTGAGCAAACAGAAAAAAATTCAATAGTTATATTAAATGCCAATGGCCTAATTTACCAATTAAAAGACATAGACTGGCACAGTGAATTTAAAAACATGAGCTAGCTGCTACATGTTGTCTACACAAAACTCACTTCAAATATAATGGTACAGGCAGTTTAAAAGTAAAAGGATAGAAAAATATACATTAGGTAAAGTTCAATTAGAAGTGACTATATTAATATCAGATAGACTTCAAAACAAAGAAAATTGCCAGAAACAGAGAGGGACATCATTTAATGAAAAGAAGGAGCAACCCACTAAGGAGACATAGTAATTCTAATATTTGCACGAAAAAACAGCTACAAAATATTTGAAGGTAAAATTAATAGAACTTAACAAATAAATAAATATATAAATCCACAGTTATAATTGGAGACTTCAACAACTCTCTTCCTTCAATTGACAACCAGATAGAAAATCTTCAAGGGTATGGAAGAACTCAACACCACCAGCCAAAAAGATTTATTTGATATTTATAGAACTCTCAACAACAGAATGCTATAGAACAATACCCAACAACAGAAGGATACACATTATTTTCAATTGCCCAAGACACATGCACCAAGATAGGCAATACCTGGTCATGACACAAAGTTAAAAGAATTGAAATACAGAGATCTAGGCTCGGTGGTTCAGCCTGTAATCCCGCGCCTTTGGGAGGCTGAGGTGAGTGAATTGCCTGAGCCCACGGGTTCGAGACCCGCCTGGGCAGCGAGACCCCATCTCTACAATAAATCAAAAAATCAGCCGGGCGTGGTAGCACATGCCTGTAATTCTGGCTACTTGGAAGGCTGAGGCGGAAGGATCGCCGGAGCCCAGCAGGTTGAGGCTGCGGTGGCCGGGAGCAGCCACTGCACTCCAGTCTGGGAGACAGAGTGAGACTCCAATTCAAAAAAAAAAAAAAAAAGAAATACAGAGTGTGTTCTCTGTATTCACAATGGAATAAAACTAGAAATAAATAACAGAAAGATAACAGGAAAATGTTCAAATATTTTATTTTATTTTTTTCCCCAAATATTTTAAATAAATTGAATAGCACTATACCTAACATCATTATCCTCTGGGAACTGTTAAAAATACAAATTGTGGCACTCACCCAGAGACACCTAAGAAAAGACCCTGGAGATAGTTCCTAGAAATGCTTGTTAACGAGACCTCTAGGTGAATTCAATACCTGCAAAAGTTTGGAACCACTGTTCTAGGTTCTAGATCTTTGCTACTCTAAATGTGACCCATAGTTTAGCCTCATCAGCTATGTTTATACATGTATTAAAACATTATATAATGCTTGGTTACAGTGATTACACTTTCAAAATGATATTTTAATGGAAACTTAATTTTTCTACCTCTTTTGATTTTATTACAATTAGTTGCAAAATGCTGGAATGGCAAAGTCTTCTAACAAAGTTTATGTTAAAGCTTGATCGGTATTCCATTTTTGGATACTGACTTTCATCATCTTTTATTAACTACTGGAGGCATGGAACTTTGCCACGGTACATTAAACTTTTATTTTCATTTTCTCCCTTTGGTTTTATCATACAGGCTTTGCCAGAAACAGCCGAAATGCAAACAAACAAACAAAAAAACTGTTAAATCTAGCTGGAAGAATAAACCGTGAAGGACCTAACTGCCATTTCGATACCTTTGTTGGAACCTTGGGCTTACCTGGTAAAAGGTATCATCTTTCTTTTATCAAACAGTTATTTTTTTCTTTCATGGAACATAGAATGTGAGCTTTTTTGTTCTGTCAGCCAATAACATGTTAAAACATTATACTTGTTCATATTTTACTTGACTTTAAAATACCCTGAAGCATCTGTGTATTGGTTTAAAAAAAGAATTCTTGCCGGGCATGGTGGCTCACACCTGTAATCCTATCACTTTGGGAGGCCAAAGTGAGAGGATTGTCTGAGCTGAGGGGTTCGAGACCAGTTTGGGCAACTTGACAAGGCCTCATCTCTATAATAAATCCAAAAGTCACCCGGATGTGGTGGCGTGCACCTGTAATCCCAGCTACTTGGGTGGCCGAGATGGAAGGATTACCTGAGCCCTGCAGGTCAAGGCTGCAGTGACCGTGACCGTGCCACAGCACTCCAGCCTGGGCGACAGAGTCAGAAGCCTAAATATAGGTGGGACGTGTATGGCACTTTCTTAATCAGTAACCCTAGAGCTAGAGAGGTCAGGTTCAAGTTTCCTTGGTGTAAATCATTGGGAAGAGCAAGGTTTTGAAACTCACCAAAGAGCAGTAGTAGGGATTTGGTCTGATAACGACAGAGGAGATTTTCTTGCTTTCCCACTTCTGCCTACTTTCCACTTAGGATTTTCATGGGAGCATCTTTTATGTAGCGAGTCAGCGGATGCTGGAGAGGAAGAAGGCAAGGAAACATTGGTGGACTGAGCTTGCTTCCTGAGCTGTGAATGACCACTTGCAATTCTTTCCATAGATTCATAGCTTGGCACACCATTATCTATTTGTCCACATAATCCTCTCTGACAAATGCATTTCATAGTCACTCTGGGTATAAGGGATGAATTTTTCCCTCTGAAATTTTGAACCAACATTTGTTTGAAATGGTGAGAAATGGGCTTGAAAGCAAAAACGCTCTTGTGCTCTCTTAGGAATAAGCACTTTTTATGGCGAAATATCTGTTTTATTGTCAATTTGCCCAAAAAGCTGGACTTGTCAAAAGAAAATATATGTAAAATGAAAATCTATGTTTTGTTTGTTTGCTTACATTGTGAAGAGAGAACACTTCTTTGGTACTTTATAAAAGCTCTTTTTATTTTTAGCCAGGTTCCAGTTCGGCCCCACCAGGTCTTGCTAAGAGGTACCCAGCTTAGAAATACTCAGTGGGTCATTGGTATAGTTGTTTACACTAGATTTGAAACCAAACTCTTGCAGTTAGCATCATCTGTGATGACAAATAATACTGCTTCTAGATTTTTCCTTCTGCTTTTATGAAGTAAGAGTATTTAGTATATGTCTCTTAGATCTAGGAGGCTTATTTCTGTTTACTATTTGAAATTTTAGGGGAGGTTTTTATTTCACCTCTAATTTTATATATTTCTTCTGACTCTTAAACTTATTTCCTACTAGACATTTATTTCCCAAAGCACAATTATCCCATCTCTTCAGGAACTGGGAGAAACTTTGTTCTAACTTATGTTTTCCTCATTTACATAAATTGAATAAGTTATAAGTAGTTTGAAATGATTACTTTTCATAAACAATGTATGTTGCTTTGCTTCCATTTAAAAAATGTCCTGATATAAATAATGCTTGTTTTACATGACATCTACGTGGACTGATTCTAGTCTATATATGGATCCCAGGTACAGAAAGATTTTTTTTTTTTCTCTGCCAGACTGACAATAGAAGTTCTACCTGTTATCACATTCATGTACAATTCCTCTCAGTTGCAATCTTTTGATCACTCTTCAGGATATCTTGTTTTGGATTAGGAATTTCTTGAATGTTTGTTACTAATGAGAAGTGACTTAACAGTAAGTCTACCCATATTTCAGTTTTCTAAAACACAACATTTGGCTTTAACTGTCATTTGCCCAAAAAACTGGACTGGACAAAATATATGTAAAGTGAAAATCTATGTTTTCTTTACACCATGAAGCGAGAACAGTTGTTTGATACTTCATAAATGCTCTTTTTATTTTTAGCCAGTTTCCAGCTGGGCCCCATCATGTCTTGCTAAGAGGTACCCAGCTTAGCAAGATCCAAGTACAAACTTCTTTTTGTGACCAAATTTGCAGCTACATCCCTGTACTTGCCGGGGCAAGTATCGATTTAGCATCCAGTTAGTGCCAGGCATTGTGCTAAGACCCTGGGGTGCAGTAGGAAGCAGCGTATGTTTCCTGTCTCCAATTGACGGTGTGTGGGAAGACCGTAAGGACAGCAAGATAATATAATACCAAGAGGTAAGTGAAGAGGAGTAAGTATAGGGCACCATGTGTATGCATCAGAACCCCATTGGACCCAACAGGAAGTTACACATAAACCGAAATCTTTTTTTTTTTTTTGAGTTGGAGTCTCACTCCGTCACCCAGACTGGAGTGCAGTGGCCGCTCCCAGCCACCGCAGCCTCGACCTGCTGGGCTCCGGCGATCCTTCAGCCTCAGCCTTCCGAGTAGCTGGAACTACAGGCGCACGCTATCACGCCCGGCTGATTTTTTGATTTATTGTAGAGATGAGGTCTCACTGCCCAGGCGGGTCTCGAACCTGCGGGCTCAGGCAATCCACTCACCTCAGCCTCCCAAAGGCGCGGGATGACAGGTTGAGCCACCGAGCCCGGCTTAAATCGAAATCTTAAGGATGAGTAGAATAGAGAGATTAAAAGGAGCGGGGAGGTAAGAAGGAATAGGAACCCAGGAAGAGGACTCTAGGCCAAGAATCTGTGCATGTCCAAAACCCCAATGGGCGGGGCGGCTCAGCGTGGCTGTTGTGTAGAGGGCTGGGGAAGCCGGCGTGGAATGATGGGAGACAGAGGGCAGCCGGGTCCCACACTGCAGAAGGCCTGGGTGAGCTCAAAGCTACGGCCAGCTCAGTGCCAGGCCACCTTGTGCCTGCTTTCCACTTAGCTGTCTCACCTTCCTTGTCTCTCTCACTCTCGCTGCCTCTGGACTACCCTTGCAGGGGTGCATCATTGTGTGTTTCACCTCGGATTTTCTTAGGGACCCCAGCAAGGACAGGGATGTAGATGCAAATTTGGGCACAAAAAGAAGACTGCGTTTGAACAGAGGAGCAAAGTTAATCATCAGTTGTTGCATGTGTTCCACTTGGACCCACGCTATCACGCCTCAGGAGTCTGTTGTGAACTGCACGTTTCTCCAACACTACACTGCACATGTTTGCATTCCATTATCTTCAAGTGATAATGCTGTATTATTTAATGATATATACAGTACTACAACACAGCTAAGATTTAAATGTCCATTGTAAATTAACAAAAAACCATTTCATGATTCTCCTGGTGTGGCTGGTCTGTGCTGTCGCTGCTGAAAAGGGCATTTGCTTGATGGCATCATTTTGTGGCTCTAAATCATTGCAGGGATTATTATACATGGCGACCGTGTCATTTCAGAATGATAGAAATTTAAGAGAGGCATTCTTCATGACTTTAGGAAAGAAACGACTAGTAAATATAGATATTTCCTGACCACAGATTTTAGACCAATACACTTGGCTGAAAACGATTCTCTTTATACAGCATTTTGAAGCTATTACTTACACACGTTAATCAAAGAGAAGAAATAATATACATTGTTATATATGTATGCATGTATATATGAACATATAAATATCTATAAGTGAAGTGACAAAGACATTCCTTTGTAATATGCTTAATGCAATTTCGCCTAGGATTATTTTAAACCTCATCTGTTTCTGTGCTTTGCAAAGAAGTAGAGTTATTTACATTATTAGTTCCTATTTTCATAATTTGTAAATGGAGCATTTATGCTTCTACAGTTTAATTAAAATGTAGAAGTGGTCAATTGAATCTGGTAAAATATGATTGAAAAGTTAAGAATTTTGGGGGTCTGTGTCACCATAGTCCTTTGCAAACAATTACACATAAATTTATAGGAAAACCCAATAGAAAATTAACATTTAAAACACTCACTTCAAGTAGGTGATATAGTTCAGAAGATTTTTCCTGGTCTTTAACCCAGAGCTTTGGTTTCCCTGAAATAAGCACGTTAGAACAATTATTGTATTGATACAACCTTGAAGATTTTCTCAACGGACTTAGGTGAAAGACATCTTTTCATGGTTTTTTTTTTTTTTTTTTTTTGAGTTGGAGTCTCACTCTATTACCCAGGCCGGAGTGCAGTGGCATGCTCACAGCTACTCCAGCGTCTACCTGCTGGGCCCTAGCGAGCTTTCTGCCTCAGCCTTCCAAGTAGCCAGAACTATAGGTGCATGATACCATGCCCAGCTAATTTTTTATTTATTGTAGAGATGAGGTCTTGCCAAGTTGCCTGGGCTGCTCTCAAACCCACAGACTCAGGCATTTCACTTGCCTTGGCCTCCCAAATTGCTGGGATTACAGGCTGAGCCAACGAGCCGGCCTTCATGGTTTGTTTTTTTTTTTTTAGTTGGAGTCTCACTCTGTCGCCCATACTGGAGTGCAGTTGCCGCTCCCGGCCACCGCAGCCTTGCCTGCTGGGTGCCGATGATCCTTCCGCCTCAGGCTTCCAAGTAACTGGAACTACAGGTGTGCGCTACCACGCCTGGCTAATTTTTGATTTGTTGTAGAGATGAGGTTTCGCCAAGTTGCCCAGGTGGGTCTTGAACCCGTGGGCTCAGGCAATCCACTCACCTCTAGCAATAATTCCACAACTACAAGTAATAAGGTGAATAAATTAGGACTTTTTTTCCCCTCCTCTACAGAAGTTCACCTAGACTGTGAGACTTACCACATGTGGTGTTTTTAAAATCCTGGAACTTTGAAGTGATGGATATGCTGTGTGAACATGTTTTCCATGAAGCAACAAATGTTTTTCATGACACCAGTGGAAAAGCCATGGTCATTCAACAATGTGGCATGTTTATATTCTGTTAGTTATTTGACAAAAAAAAAAATTCTACATTCTACTGTTAGAATTTTTTCTTCTTGCAACCAAAATGTGTGTACCCTATAATTCCTTGGCTTTTGTTTTGCTTTTGGTGGTATATGCATGTGCTCTTTATGGTGCAGAATTCCGTCAAGTCACCTCTGAAGAGATCAAATGCTGAGAAGGTGACCAGTGTGCAAATCCTCATTTTGTTCCTGGTGCTTCTGGTCATGTCCGTGGGAGCTGTGTGAGGACCACGCTCTGGAGTCAAATGTTTGGCACAGACATTTGGTATATGAGGAAGGGTGAGTTTCCGGGGGTGACAAGAAGCTGTCGTTTTTGGAAGTCATTTCGCTTTTTAAAGTGACCTTGAAGACTTGTTCCCACACTTTTACTTAACAGTGAAGGCACTTATGCTAAACGGTGTATGATTTTTGAGAAACTGAGAGCTAATAAGTATTAGAAACAGAATGTTCCCTTCATAAGATTTTTTAAATTTGTTTTTAATTTACCTGTAATAATTGTTTACATATATAGGGTGCAATGATATTTTGACATATGTGTACATTGTGAAATGATCTGATCAAGCTAATTAATGTATACGAAGGGAAAACCCCCCAAAACCCAGAAGTTATTTATAAAAAATTATTTATTCTTACATGTTTAAATTTCAGTCACCTTCGAAGTACTCTCAGTTTGATGCAGTACATCTATCGAGATGCTTTTTCCAGTACTCAAAACACCTTTTGAACTCATCAATTTGGATGACTTTTAGTGTTTTTGCCATTTTTTGTTTCATCTCTTCCACCTTGGCAAAACATTTCCCTTTGAGGATTTTTTTCATCAGAGAAACAAACAAAAAAACCCACTAGAGATGAGATCGGGCAATTGGGGAGGGTGGGACATGGGGGTCATGCAATGTTTTTTGTCCAAAAGTGCTGAACACTCAGTTTGCTTGGGCAGGTGCACTCATAAATCACCCATCATGAAATGGGCAAATGTGTTGAAGGAATCTACAAAAAAAAAAAAATTTTTTTTTCCACCAAAGCCAAACTCAGCTTCTCACAACAGGCTAGCTGGGTTCCTAGAATACTTACCTAGTGAGGGAAGCCTGGACTACAAGGGGTCCACCCTCTGAAAGATAATTCCAGTTTTTGAGGGTCCCCCCTCACGTATTACCTCATATGCTCATCAGTGTTTTGTGGTAAGAACATTTAAAATCTACTCTCCTAGCAGTTTTCACATTATTCAATAATTTCGTTATTTCTCCAGTACTTATTTTTCCTGTCTAACTAAAACTGTGTCCTTTGACCAACCTTTCCCCATTCCAATCACCCCTTGTCCCTGGTAGCCACCAGTGTCTACTTCTATGACTGACTTTTTTAGATTCTGTAAATAAGTGAGGCCATGTGGTGTTTGTCTCTCTATGACTGATTTATTTCAACTTAGCATGCATAAGTCCTCCTGATTCATGCAAGTTTTGGCAAATGTCAACATTTCCTTCTTTTTAAAGGCTGAATAATATTCTATCGTGTATATCTATCACTTTTTCTTTATTTGTTCATCCATTGATGGACATTTGGGTTGATTCTACATCTTGGCTATTGTGAATAAAGTGGCAGTGAAAATGAGAGTGCAGAGATCTCTTCAACAGACTAATTTCTTTTCTTTTGGATATATGAGGTCTGACAATTAGGTTTGTGAACCACCCTTGAAAAAGTGCTACATACCTCGTTGCTGCATAGCACTATGGTCACCTTTGAAGTCCTCCCCTTGGGAAGCACTGTGCACCCACGCCAGTGCCTAGTCCACTTGTCAAAGCCATTCTGGAACTCTTTTTCTGAAATGGCCATCAAAGCTTTTGTCCTTCTTTGTTGAGGTCTGACAACTACATTCTCAAACTTGCCACTCTGTGCTTACGTTGGCAGCAGTGTACAAATAACTGTATTGGAAGACCCTCCCTACTCACCTGATCTGGCCCCAGCAACTTTTTTCTTTACCTGAAGAGAAAGGAAATATTCCAAGGAAGTCATTCGATGACATTCAGGACATCAAAGGTAATATGATGACAGCTCTGACGGCTGTTCCAGAAAAAGAGTTCCGAAGTTGCTTTGATGAGTGAACTAGGCACTGGTGTCGGGGCATAGTTTCCCAAGGGATTGACTTCAAAGGTGACCGTAGTGATATTCAGCAATAAGACATGGAGCACTTTTTCTAGGATAAGCTTGCAAACTTAATTGTCAGACCTTGTATACTCAGAAGCGAGATTACCGATTGCATAGTAGTTTTCTATTATGTTTTCTTGAGGAACTTCCATACTGTTTTCCAAAGCAGCTGTTCTCATTTACATTCCCACCAGCAGTGTATAAGGGTTTTCTTTTCTCCACATCCTTGCCAAACTTTTGTATTTTTGATAATTGCCTTCCTAACAGGTGTGAGATGACAGTTCATTATGGCTTTAAAATTTTTTTTTATTTTAAATATGTGGGGTACAATTCAGGGCTAGTTATACAAATGTTCATTATGCAGGTACCTTTGTTGATGAGGTGTGCCCCACCCTCCCCTGGCAGCTTTTCACTACTGCCAATCCTGCCCCCACCCTCCTCTGGCAGTTTCCCAATACTCCCAATCCCTTTCTTATAGTATTACGATCGTTGTTCAAGGCCCGCTTATGAGTGAGAACATGTGATACCCAGTTCTTTGTTTCTGTGATAGATCATTCAGTATTATAGCCTCTAAGTCCATCCACGTTGCCGCAAAGTTCATAATTTTGTCCTTATTTATAGCTGCATAATATTCCATCGTGTATATATACATTTTTAAAAAATCAGTCCTCTTTTGACATTGCATTTTTAATTTGCTTTTCTCTGATGATTACTGATGTTGAGTATTTTCTCATATACCTGTTGGCCCTTTGTATGTCCTCTTTTGAAAAATGTTTATTTGAGTCCTTTGTCCATTAAAAAAAAATCAGGTTATTTTCTTGCTATTGGATTTTTTGAGTTCTTCGTGTATTTTGAATATTAGCCTCTTATTAGATGTATGGTTTAAGGTTTTTTTTTTTCAAGTTTATTCTGACAATTACACATAATTTCGGCATTTCAGAATAAAGGAAAGAGTTAGGAGTCAGGGCATAAGTGTGAAACTGTATATCAGATACACAAGGGTCGAGTCTTGGGCTCTATCCCTTAGTAACTGTGAGAATTTTGATGAGATTTTTACTTCTCAGAGGCTTACTTGTCTTACTGGAAAACAGGGATAATATCTACTGCCTGGGGTTGGTACAGTGAATGAAGTGACTAATACTTGGTGTCTGTAAAATGTGTCAAGTTCTGTATACCATTTGAGTAATCTTTTCTTTTTTTGATCAGACTTGAAAGAAGAGACAACTCTTTCTTCTTCCCTCCCTCCCTCCCTCCCTTCCTTTTTTTCTCTCTCTCTCTCTCTTCTCTACCCCCTCTTTCTCTGCCAGGGTCTTGTTCTGTCACCTAGGCTGGAGTGCAGTGGTGTGATTATAGCTCACTGCAACCTCGAACTCCTGGGCTCAAGTGATCCTCCCACCTCACCTCCCAAGTAGCTGGGACTACAGGCATGAGCCACCATATCTGGCTAATTTATATATATATATATATTTATATATTTAAATATTTTTCTAGGCATGGTGGCTCACGCCTATAATCCCAGCACTTTGGGAGAGACCAGGGTAGAATGATCATCTGAGGCCAGGAGTTCAAGACCAGTCTGGGCAACAGAGTGAGACCCCATTTATACAAAACATACACAAATTAGTTGGGCATGGTAGTGTAGTGCACACTTGTAGTCCCATCTACTCAGGAGGCTGAGGCAAGAGGATCACTTGACCTAGGAGTTTGAGGCTGTGGTGAGCTGTGATTGTACCACTGTACTATAAGCCTGGGTGACAGTGAGACCTTCACTTAAAATAAAATAAAATAAAATATTTAATATTTTTGTCTATTTTAATCAGAATTTTAGAATTTTCAAGGAGAAATTTCCAACATTTTAAAATGCAGTAGTGTAAACACAGGTGAAAAGAACCGTTGAGGTGATGCAGGCCCTCTGACCCTCCCCCGCAGGTCTCAGCTTCCACAACCTTGGCTTTGACCTTCTGGTGTTCATCATCCTGTGCCACAACCTCATCCCCATCAGTCTGCTGGTCACTCTGGAAGTTGTGAAATATGTCCAGGCCCTGTTCATAAACTGGGTGAGTGTTAGAAGAAGGAATATTTTTAAACCATTCTCTCCCGAGCTATGGCTTCTGTGTTCCTTTTAAGAATCAGTGTAAGGAGTCCTCACAGTGGGCAGGTGCTGCCAACTGGCCAGGTACGCTGAGCGCTGGCGACTGTGCCACTTGGCCCAGCTGCTCATGGGCCTCTGTGTTTATCTGGAGGACACTGTTTTCTCCATATATTTGTTTTTGCTGATAAGAAAGATTTAAGAGAGAGTGGCTTGGCAGCAAATGTGGAGAGATCATTGATCCATTAAAATTCAAGGTATTCTACAGAGGAGGAGAGGAGAGTTATGTAGACTTACAAATCTTGGCAGGAATGACAGAAGCGTAACCAATCCTGAATCACTTCAAATTAAGGAAACAGTTTCTTGGGTGACAAGCACCTGTTGACTGTCATGAATACTTAGTAAACTGGGACTGAAATAATTTCCCAGTTTGAATGTGGGACTGCAGTTTTTAGTTAGGTTTTGAAATATTTTTCTTTGAAATGAAATTATGGCTAAATGTCACATATTAAAAATGTGCTCTCGGTATGTCATTGGATTGCCAGCATTGGAAGGGAATTATTATTATTTTTTATTTTGAATATGTGGAGTACAATTCAGGGTCAGGTATACAAATGTTCATCACGCAAGTACCCTTGTTGATGAGGTGTGTCCCCCCCACTGGCAGTTTCTCACTGTTGCCAGTCCCGTGAGATTATTATTTTAACAGCCACAAAGCGAGACGGGCGCTTCCCAATGAGTTTTCATGCAGTTTTCCCAAGAGTGCTGCTAGATCCATGCTCTTGTTCCCATTTCACAGAGTCCCATTTCACTTTTGTTCCATTTCACAAGAGGCACAGAGAGGCACAGCTTGTAGGAGGCAGAGCCAGGGTTTGGAAAGCCAAGTCTTCTGATTCCTGATCACCCACACATCACGATGCTGCCTTTCCTGCATCAAGTCTCCCCACGTGGGAAAGTAAAACGCAGTCTAATCAAGTCATCTATACTCTCTGTTGTGAATTCTTCCTCAGTGTGCGTCCCATGGAAAGATGAGTGGCAGGACAGCCTCCTTGCAGAAGCGGGGAACCTCGTTCTGACTCTGGCCTGGGCTGTTTCTCGTTTCTTGCAGGATGAAGACATGCACTACAGAGTCAATAATGTCTACGCCATGGCCAGGACATCCAATCTCAATGAGGAGCTTGGGCAGGTGAGGGCCCTTCCCGGGCTGGACAGCATGATGGGAGCTCAAAGGAAGACGACCCTGGGGAGAGCTTGGGCTCACTGGAGTGGCAGGGTCAGCCACAGAGTGTAGTTTAAATTGACACAGGTGGAGCCAGGCAGGAATCTAAAGCATGCTTTGTTCAAAATATTGATAATACTATGCTGTGAGAAATAATTCTGCATCATGGGTTCTTGACAATGTCCATCATGAGTAACTGATGATGCTGCATCATGGGTAATAATACAGCATCATGGGTCACTGATGATGCTACATCATGAGTAACTTATGATACTGCATCATGGGTAACTTATGATACTGCATCATGGTTAATAATACTGCATCACGGGTAATTGATGATACTGCCTCATGGGTAGTTGATGGTACTGCATCATGAGTAATAATACTGCATCAAGGGTAATTGATGATACTGCCTCATGGGTAATAATGCTGCCTCATGGGTAATTGATGGTCCTGCCTCATGGGTAATAATACTCCTCATGGGTAGCTTATGATACTGCATCATGGGTAATACTGCATCATGGGTAGCTGATGATACTGCATCATGGGTAATAATACTGCATCAAGGGTAATTGATGATACTGAATACTGCATCATGGGTAATTGATAGTGCATCATGAGTAAACTACTGCACCATGGGTAATTGATAATAGTGCATAATGGGTAATAATACTGCATCCTGGGTCACTGATAGTACTACATTATGTTCCATCGAAACAGATCTGATCCAGGTTCTTGTGTGTATATGACAGAGTAGAGGAGCTGGAGAGGACATGTCCCTTCCCAGGTCTACAGTCAGCTTTCAGAGTTAGGAACCTGCCGGTAGGAGCACCCTCCCTCCCCTACCCCACCTGCCCCTCACGCCCTGCCCCGCCTCCCTGGGGCCACCGCGCTGGAAGCATCCCGAGGCTGCTGCAACATTTCAGAGGCTGTGAAAAAGTTTTACACCCGCTAAGCCCAAAGCTGCCAGGAGAGCAAATAAAGCTCCTATTTAATTGAAAATTCCTCTGAAAGGCAGAAGCTGACCTGGGATCGCTGGTGAGAGGTTGGGTAACGCCCCCTCCACTGTCTCCACCCCTCAAGCGGTGCAATAGGTTGAAAGGGATGGTGTGGTCACAGCTCACTGCAGCCTCAAACTCCTGGGCTCAAATGATCCTCCTGCCTCAGCCTCCAGAGTAGCTGGAGCTACAGGCATGTGCCACCATGCCTGGCTGATTTTTTATTTTAATTATTTTATTTTATTTTATTTTATTTTACTTTTTGAGTTGGAGTCTCACTGTTACCAGGCTGGAGGGCAGTGGCAGATTCCCGGCCACCGCAGCCTCAACCTGCTGGACTCAAGCGATCCTTCTGCTTCAGCCTTCCAAGTAGCGGGAACTATAGGTGCGTGCTACCACGCCTGGCTAATTTTTGATTTGTTGTAGAGATGAGGTCTCACCAAGTTGCCCGGGCGGGTCTCTAACCTGTCTTGCTTTGTTGTCCAGGCTGGTCTTAAGTGATCCTCCTGCCTGAGTCTCCTGAGTAGTGAAGGATGCTTTCAAACTTTCCTTTAGAGAAGGATTGTTGGTGGCCAATTCTCTCATGTTTCATGTGTCTGAAAATATCTTTACTTCCCCCTCCTTGAAATATTAGTACTTTTCCCTGGAACCTTGAAAATGTTCCCTTGATGATTTTTAAAAGTTACCCATCAGTCTAGTATTGGTACTTGGGCATGTGAATGGTCTTTTCTTTCTATTTTAATTCAATTTTTTTTTTAGACTGCTGTGGTTTCACTATCCTGTGACTTTTTATTTATTCTCTTTCTGATTCACTGGACTCCAGGAATGTGAGGATCAGTGACTCAATAACTTTAGAAAACTCCAATATTTATTTATTTATTTATTCATTTATGAATCAAAATCTCACTCTGACGCCCAGGCTGGAGTACAGTGGCCCAGTCACAGCCACCACAGCCTCGACCTCCTGGGCTCAGGTGATTCTTCCGTCTCGGCCTCCCAAGTAGCTGGAACCACAAGGCAGTTGCCACCACGCCTAGCTAATTTTTTGATTTATTGCAGAGACGAGGTTTTGCCAAGTGGCCTAGGCTGGTCTCAAATTCGTGGGCGGAGGCAATCCTCCTGCCTCGGCCTCCCCAAGTGCTGGGACTACAGGTATGAGCCACGACCATGCCCGGCCCAATCTATGTTCAGACATTAACTCATTTCTGTCCCCTGTCATCTTTCTGGGAGCTTCTACTGCGTGAGTGCCAGCCCTTGATCTCTGTCCTCGGGTCTCTCACCCTCCACGTGTGTTTCCGTCCTGTCCTCTGAACTGGATAATGTTTCCCATTCTTCTTTCTCCCTCTGATTGTCTCTTTATTTGACTCTGGTCTGTTTAACCTTTCAATTTAAGTTTTCAACCATTGCAATTTTAACTTTCTAAATGTTTTATTTACTTTAAAACAGATGCTCTATTTTTATTTTTCTATTTGTTGCTCATGTTTTTAAACTACTCTTTTAAAAAAATCTCACTATTTTCCTCTTCTGAGTCCATCTCAGTTACTCGTGGATCTGCTTCTGTTTCTCTGTTTTTCTGCTAATTTTCTTTCTGTCTTGCTTTGATTATGACCCCATGGTCCTCAGGATTTTTTTTTGACAGGAATTCTCTGAGGCCTGGGCTGAAGTTGTGTTTCTACAGAAGGTATTTGTTTTTACTTCTGCCAGTCTCTTGAGAGCACATTCCTTTAAATCCTCTATTTGAGATGGTTGGATCAACAGGTCGTGTGAGTTTGGCCAACAAGCTCGCAGGAAGAGATGCCTGTGCTGACATTCTCTAGAGAAAGGTGTTTCTGCCATCCGGCCTCTAGGTCCACGCAGGCAAGCGCTGGCCGCCCATTGTGCTGTGCAGTTTGCTTCTCTTCCATGTCTGTTTTGAGGGGTGTCACCTTGGCCAGGTCGATGGAAGGGTCTTCCAAGACACTGTCCTCCTGGGCAGTCACATGCTTGTGGCCCATTTTTAGAGAACCCAGTTTTGTAAGCGAGGGTTCCCATTGATCAGAGACAGATTCTTCCTACTAATTTAATTTTCATTTCATTTATTTTAGATTTTGTCTTTACTAATTCCTTCAACCTTTTTTTTTTAACCTTTCTATATTTTCTTCAGTTAAGTAATAAGTTGTTTACCTTTTAGCTTTCTGTATCTAATAATAGAACATTTTCAGAAATGTTCTTCTGCTTACAGCTTGGAATAAATCCAAGCTTTGTTATGAAGAACCCTCTTACTGCTCTTTAGTTTAGCATTTCCTGTTTGATTTACCTTTTAATAAGAGTGTGTGTCTTAATTTCCAAGTAGCTCACGTTTTTGGCCCCTCTTTTTGTGACTTTTTTGTTTTATTGGATTATGACAAATAAATGTGACTTATGAAGCCTCTACTTTAAAAATTTTGTCAATGATTTATTCGTGGCCAATTACATAATAAATTTTTGTAAAAGACATTTAAAATATGTATTTCTTATTTTCTGTATCTATTAAATTCAAGTGTATCATAATTTTCAATTTTGTCTATGTCCTATCTTTCTTTATTCAAATTTGAAAGAATTCAGATCTCAAAGAATCTAAAATTCTGAAAGAAATGTTCTGAATTCTCTAAGCATTATTTACTTTTATTGAGTTTCTAGTTTTATGTATATACTTTGTTTTTTGGGGTTCATACAGGATCTTAATTTGTCATATTGTCTTTGTAAATGTTGTCTTTTATCATTACTTTATATCTCCTTGAACTTTAACTTCTGCTTTGGTATTAATATTACCATTCCTGACAGCTCACTATTTTTGCATTCTGCATCTTTTTGCATTCCTTTTAAACATTGTTTAAATGTGTTTTTGTGTGTACATGTGAATGTACAGCACGCATAATAGCTTCTGCCTTTTGTTATTATTTTTTGGTTACTTTAGTAAATGAAATCTAACATGAATCAGCATCTCTCTCTTCTTCCCAAATAACACACAGATCTTAAATATAGTTGATTCTAGGTTGCTTTGTGTTGTTTGCTGAACAGACATGATCACCTCCAGGGTCTCCGTGTCACTTTAGAAATGAAAAACATGGTTGTGATGATGACTAGTATGGTTTTGAGGTTGGTCTTCATTTTATTTATTCTTTCTTACTAATTTTTTATTTTAAATACATGGGGTACAGTTCAGGGTTAGGTACATAATGGTTTTCATTTTCATCTGACTACCTACTTCCCTGTTTCCTAGACCCTTTGGACGGAATTTCTTGTTGCAGGAAAACGAACTTAACCTTCTGATTTTCTTAGGTTTGATGGTTTAACGTGTACTTTGCATATTGCCATATAATTTCACCTCCAGTGTAAAACAAAGAGAAGGGTAGGACCCTCCAAAGAAGTATAAATATGAAAGCTGAAATTCTTATAGCTGAGCCTCTTGTTTTCTAAAACTTAACACATTTTGAGGATTTAAAGAGAAAAAAACTTCATTTTACTTTCTAGGCTCTCTAAATACATTTTAAATTTATCGTGTTCATTTTTTTCTTTGTTTAGGTGAAATACTTATTTTCTGATAAAACAGGAACCCTCACCTGCAATATTATGACATTTAAGAAGTGCACCATTGCAGGTATAATTTATGGGTGTTTTTATTGCCTTACTCTGTTGGAAATTCTCATTTTTCCCCTTAAAATTAATTAGTGTATTAATTAATTAATTAACTCCAAGACATCTGAATTTCTAATGCTATATTTGTATCTGAATGAGACTAAAACTTAATTTAACCTCAACAAAAACTTGCAATGGTTAAAAAATATGGTTTACGTCTGCTTTGATACGTAATTAGAATTCCCATGTAGTTTCATGTTTAGAGTCTTGTAACAGCTACCTTTTCTCCCTTAGAAATATCTCAGACAGAAATGGTCCTGGCACAGGAAACCTCAGGTATAGACAATGTTCTTTCCTGCTTTGCCCTCTTCTCTGCAGCCAGCTTCGATCAATATTGAATACTGACACACTACACCTCAGCTCTCTCCTGTCCAGACCTCAAATGGCAGTTTCTAAAAACTCCCCTGGGTAGCTCTTCCCCACATCGTATTCAAAGACCTGGAAACCCAGCCTTTAATTCATTACTTTTGTAATGACTCCATCTCAAGTTCCTTATAACTCTGCAGTTTCCAGTGCAAGTTTAGGCATTTGCAAATGCCATTTTGCTGCTTGAGACCTGAGAGGATGTGTCGTTGGACAGAACTTTAAATATTTGCTGTAGATCTGTGGACTCTTCAGGTGTGATGCCCCTGAAGACAAAAGATGGGGCTGTGTGTTCACTTTAGGTCCTTCTTGACTGGTCCTGTCGGGAACTTTCTGTCAGAGTCATCTTTTCCTTTATTCCTTCTAGTCAGACACCTTCTTCCAGCACAGAGCCCTTTGAATTTGACCCCCGACTAGTGGAAAACTTTGAGAATGGCCATGTAAGTCGGCCCTTTTGGTTGACACAGTCATACTGCATAAATTTAAAATGAAGATGTCTTCCTAAAAGGTGTCATTTTCTGAATCCTGGAAGAGAGTCTTGACATTTTCTGATGCTCATATAATTAACAAGGGATTCTGTGAGCAATATTATGAGCTAAGTGCTGAACGTATGAGTGTGAGTGAATTTAAACATCACACGAGCCCTTTTACTATGAAGCGATCTATGCTGAAGACTGTCTATCTGCTTTTAAACTATTTGGATCTGTTGCATGCTGCCAACATCTTCACTTATCTGCTTTAAAATATTGATTTAGGTCATTTGAAATCTTCATCGTCTCAAAAATTGAAGTGACCTTTTAAAGCATAAATCTCTATATGTTCTTTCTTTGCTTTGACACCCTTCTGAGAACTGGCACCATGCTGACAGTGAAGCCCAAACTTGTTACCGTGGTCTTCTCTTTGAATTACTCGTTATCATCGCACCCCTTGCTCAAGACAGTGAAGTCACACTTGTTTAAAGCTCCACAGAGACATGAGGCTGTTGACTCAGTTCATTTGACCATGCGATTCCCTTTGTCAAGTATGTGTCTACTGTCACCGTCAACGATACAAACAGCCAACTAAGCTTGTTTTTAGATGTTAACTTAAATATTATCTCCTCAAGCATCATTCTCTGAGTACCCACCTAAAATAGGGCATGGTGACTCACACCTATAATCCCAGTACTTTGGGAGGCCAAGCTGGGCGGATTTCTTGAGTCCAGGGGTTTGAGACCAACCTGGGCAATATAGCAAGACCTCGTCTCTACAAAAAATCAAAAAAGTTAGTTGGGCATGGTAGTGTGCACCTGTGGTCCCAGCTACTTGGGAGGCTGAGGTGGGAGGATTGCCTGAGCCCAGGAAGTTGAGGCTGCTATGAACTGTTATTATCATGATTGTGCCACTGCGCTCCTGCCTGGGCAACAGAGTAAGACCCCCAACTCAAAAAACTAATAAAATAAAATAGGCCTTTCTTTCCTCCACCACAGTCTGTTTTCCCCAGCTTTGGGAAATCCTGTCTCCCCAAGAGGAATAAAAGCTCCAAGAAGGCAGGGTGGTCTTGTTCCCCAAGTCCCCCCAGCCTCCTGCACTGCCTAGGACTCAATAGCAACCCAAAAAGCCATTTGAATGCACTGCATGGTTTTTTGGCTGGTGCCTGACCTCATTTGACCTGAGATCAAACCTCAGTTGGTACAGATTGCAGACTACATGTGACTCTCACGTTGCTGACTTGGAAACAGCCTCACCAACTCTGAGCCTTTTTTTTTTTTTTACAGGCCACAAAAGAATACATAAAGGAATTTCTGATCCTGTTATGGGTCTGCCACATGGTTGTCCCTGAGAGAGATGGAAATGACATACGCTACCAGGCCTCCTCCCCAGGTGGGTGCCATGCACACAGCATATCGTGCCTGGCAGGGGGTAAGGCCTCTGAAGACGGATGATCCCCCCAGCTGCTCTGGCCTTTCTCCTTCCCGGGAGTGCTCACAGGCCAGGGATTCATGGAGAGCCACCCTATGGCTCTGGGGTTTCTCATTCCCTACCCCCAAAACAGCAGCAAGGATACTGGGGAGGACGCTCAGAGCCTGGGGCTCGGCTGTGTGTCTGGCTGAAGTCAGTGACAAAGCAGAGGAAAGTCAAGGCCTTGCAACCATATATGGAATTCATTACAGAGAGCAAGAAAGTATTTCATGGTCAGCTTGTACATTCATCTTAGTCCACTGACAGAGGCCCCGTTAACCAAATGTCCTCCTTCATTGAATGCTGTCTGGTTCCTAGGACAGATAAGTGCATCTGTACCCAAAAAGCTAAGTTTTAAAAAGACGACATGATATTTTAGGGCCGGAGAATGGAAATCTGTATGAAGTTGAACTCAGTGTTATGCATTTGCTCAACTCCTACTGACTCAACTTTTTTTTTCTTTTTTGAGTTGGAGTCTCACTCTGTCGCCCAGACTGGAGTGCAGTGGCCGCTTCCGGCCACCACAGCCTCAACCTGCTGGGCTCCTGTGATCCTTCCGCCTCAGCCTTCTAAGTAGCCGGAATTACAGGCATGCGCTACCATGCCTGGCTGATTTTTTTTTTTTTTTATTGCCCAGGCGGGTCTCAAACCCGCGGGCTCAGGCAATCCACTCACCTCAGCCTCCCAAAGGCGCGGGATTACAGGCTGAGCCACCAAGCCCGGCTTTGACTCAACTTTTTATTATATTTTATTTTATTTTTAGTCAAGGTCTCACTCGGTTGCTGAGATTGGAGGGCAGTGGTGTGACCACAGCTCACCACAGCCTCAAACTCCTAGGCTCAAGTGATTCTCTCACCTCAGCCTCCCAAATAGCTGAGACTATAAGCACATATGCCACCATGCCTGGCTAATTTTTTAATTCTTTGTAGAGACAAGTCTCACGATGTTGCCTAGGCTGATCTTGAACTCCTGGGCTTAAGCAATTCTCCTGCCTCGGCCTCCCAAATGTTGAGATTACAGGTATATACCACCACACCCGGCTAATTAAAAAAAAAATTATTCGTAGATGGGGTCTCACTATATTGCCTGGACTGGTCCTAATACAACTTTTTGTTGACAGATGAAGCAACTTTAGTAAAAGGAGCAAAAAACCTTGGCTTTTTTTTTTTACTACAAGAACACCACTCTCTGTCACCATAGAAGCTGTGAGTAGTACTCCAAGCACACTTCAACCCCTTACTTCTAGTTGCTTTGGTACAAGAGTGCAGTGGGTCAGGACAGGAACTCTGGAGCCACGGGGCTGGGGATTCCAGCCTGACTCCACACCCACCCAGTCATTCTCCTCAGGTGCATTTCTTCACATCTCAGTATTGGCAAATACTGTTTTGTCATCAAGCATATCATAGAGTCCTTGTGAGGATGAAGTGAATCAGTATATGTCAAGTAATTGGAATCAGTGCCTGGCACTTAGAAGTTATATAGTTAAGGTGAGCTATTCCAAAGAATTAGAATCATCAGAGCTTTGAAAAATAGACTGTGTTTTTCCCAAGGGGAATTAACATGGTTCAAACCATATGTGATGAGTTTGGTGATTATACTGAGTACTCACTTTGCTGGTTGTATTTCCTTGTTCTGTCTTGATATTTTGGGGAAAAAATGGAAGCAATGCAAACATAGTGGCCAGCACGTGGATTTTTTTTTTCTTCTAGTCATCGTGGATGGTTAGGAATGTTCATTAGACATCGAGTTTTTGGTAAAAGAGATTGATGAATTCATCTTTATATCCGTAGTACCTGGTATATGGGTGACTCTCAAATTGTCTAAAATTCTTCAGTGCCACGTTGGTGATGCTGGGAGCTGGTAGACTCAGATAAATTGATCTTGGCTACAGGAAATCAAGAGACTGTAACTGGAAACATTTAGGGAAAAAAATGCATCATTGCTGTAAAACTTTATGTATACATGCCACTTCTTTCCCTATTTACTGCTTAGAATGATCAAGCTTTAACGATTTCATTTGCTCCCGACAATATAGTGAAAAGATTGGTATTCTCCCATTGTCTGCTGGTCCATCCACTTAGTACATGTATCCTGGCCACTTGAGAGTATTTATAAAATATTTCTCATAGTGCTGATTTTTGATTGGAAAGAGAGGTATGGCTCTGTCCTAAATCAGTGCCGATGGAAACATTCAAGTCATTCCTTTTGTCCAAGCTACAGACAATGCTCTTACCAGAGGAGGCCGCCATCACCTCAGACTTGCCAGAAATTTATATTTTGGGAAAAGATATGTATTTGGAACCTAGTTTGTGATTGAGGTAGTGAATTATTTTGCAAGATGAATACTTTTTTCCCCAGGTAGGAATATGTTGTCTTATCTTTCTACAGATGGGTGAAAAATACACTTTTGAAATTCTTAATGTCCTGGAATTTTCCAGGTAAGCTGCTTTTTTATCAAGTTTATGTATTTCCCAGGGCTGTTTCCATAACTACTCAGCTTGAGATCTGGCAACATAAATCAACCCTTCAGTACAGAATCATGGAGTCCTAGGCAGGCTCGACCTCGAAATCTCCGCCCAGTGCTCACTTTAGGCCTCATTCACCAGATTCCCTTTCGAAAGCTTGCATGGGTTACCCCTTTTGTAGCACTGGTCACAGTCAGAGTGAGACTTTGAATCTGTTCTGACTTCATGACTGTCTCGCTCCCTAGACTGTAAGATCCTGAGGGCAGGAATCACCTCATGTGGGGGCCAGTATTCAGTAAGTGCTCAATACGTTTTTTGATGAAGGGATGGAGATGGGAAATTATTTTCACCAGTAAACCAAAACACGGGTTCTTTAAAAGCAGACAGTTATTTAATTCAGTTTTTCTTTCCAAAGGGAAAAAATTGCATCCAGATCTCTCTCCTCCCACTTCAGCGGGGCTGCAGCTCTAGCCGCTGTGGCCTTGTCCCTAGAGCACATCGTGAGGATGTTGATGATGATGTGATTTTTATCGGACCTCTCCCAAGACTTACGCAGTCATATCTCTTGGCCCATCTGAGCATTTTTAATGTTCAATCTGAAAAATTAGGAAAGGGAATTGATGAAATAGATTATTAGTTCTTCCCAAGGCTGGGTTATTATTCTTTTTTAAGTCAAATTATTTTGAAAGCCTTAGTAAAGAAAAAGAAGTGGAGACTAGCAATTGAAGAAACATGCTGACCTTTTCACTGATTGTCGGCTGAGGACTCTGGAAGTTCTTCTGACTCTGTGTGTGTGTGTGTGTGTGTGTATGTGTTTGTGTGTTAGCTGTAGGTGTTGGAGTTTGTCTCTCACCTTCGCTCTTTCTCTATTCCAACAATTTGCAGGGAGCATTTTACAACTTCATCTCCTTTTTAAATGTTGTTGCTGCTCACCTGTTGTTGCTGCAGTCTCGATCTCCTGGGCTCAAGTGAGAGCCTCCCAAGTGCTGAGACTATGGGCATGCTCCACCACTCCCAGCTTAATTATTTTTTGGAGAGACATGATATTGTGCAGGCTGGTCTCAAACTCCTGGGCTCAAGCGATCCTTCCACCTTGGCCTCCCCAGGTGCTGAGATTATAGGAGTAGGGCACCACGCCTGGCCGTGACTGTTTTTAATGAACAAAACTGTCTAAACTTTGTTCTTGATGATAGTGTTTCTTATCTTGGAGTGTCTGTTGAAGAGAGAGAGGCCCACGGTCCTGGGACGGTCAAACTCTTCTTTAGCACTGGAAAGCAAGCTTGCACTTGAGAGGCATTGAGGATGTGGCTTTTAACTCTTCTCATTATTTCTGGTAGATGCAGTTGTTAATAGACATCATTTTTTATTTCTTTGATGTATACAGCAGTGATATCCTTTTTCTTTACTCTTCCTGCTCGGTGGTCTTCTGCAACATGCTTCATGTATAGTCATCAGATTTAGTTTTCTTTAAAGTGACTAGACCAGTTCACACTTTGGGGCTTATTTTTTAACTTCTTTTGGACTTGTGCTTTTATTGGGGCTGCTCAAACCCCTTCATGCCTATGAGATATACCAGTAATATTGTAAAGCAGCATTTAGAACTCAACTTATGTGAGATGTTAACCACAGAGATTTTTTAAAAATAGGACACAGTGATTTATGAGAGACTTTCAAAAGATTCTCTGTTTGTGCAGGAGACATTAGCCCATCTGGAACATTTTGCCAGAGAAGGTAAATAAAACTTGTTTCGAATTCCATTCCCTTTGGAAGTGCTGTTCTGAAGTGTGGAAATGATAACCTGAATGCACATCACGCATGCTTCTTGGGCACAAAAATGGGCAAGACGAGCTCATTGGTATGTGTGACTTTGTAATGCCTTCTGTTTGCTGAAAAGGAAATGATCTGATCTATAGGAAAGACACCTGTATATGCACGTTTACTGCCACACTATTCACAATAGCAAAGACATAGAACCAACCTCACTGCCCATCAAAAGTGGACTGGATAAAGAAAATGTGGTACATATACACGATGGAATATGACACAGCTGTAAAGAATGACAAAATCACGGACCTCTCAGCAAATTGAATGGAGTTGGAGACCATCATACCATGATCTATCACAGAAACAACCAGATACTGCGTGTTCTCACTCATAAGTGGGTCCTGAACACTGATCACAATAGCACAAGGGAGGGATTGGCAGTCACAGGACACTGCTGGGGGGCGGTGCACATAGTAACACAGAAGGGACCTGGTCCTAAACCAGGGGAAGTGAGGACTGATTTGAGGCCCAAAATCTACCTGCATGTAGATGAATTATGTTCCTAATCCTGACTCATCCCCGACATCTCTGTAGTAAAATAAACGTTCAAAAAGTGAATGATTTCCCAAACAAATCCTGGTAAGACATTATTATTTTCCCCTTTCTCCTCCCTCCAGCAGTTTTGTGCTTCACAGCAGCAGTAAAATGCATGTTTTCACTGTGTGTTTTAGTGTCTCCTGTCCGCCATGTTCTAGTTCTGTTTTCCAAGTGTTCCCTTTCAGTTTGTTGTATGAGGAACTTGGCTGATAGTTGGAGAAACAGACAGGCTTTTCCAGTACGTGCGGTACATCTTGAAGTTAATTATTTTACCCATATAACTCAGGAAGCCAACAGTTGATATTTTCATGTCATTCTCTTGTTACTCTTCTGATTTTTGACTTATCATCCATCTCTTAAGGAAATAGAATTCCATGACTGACTTTCAAACAAGATTCACCAAAAGGTTGACAGAAGCTTTGAAGAGCTGTATTTATGTAAGAGGAAAGTAGTAATATTCTCAAAACTGCAGCTTACCTTCTCCTTTTAGTTTATAAGCTGCTGCTTAATACAGATAGGTGGGTGTACAGTCTTAGAGTATGGGCTTTTTTTTTTTTTTTTGAGTTGGAATCTCGCTCTGTCACCGATGCTGGAGTGCAGTGACATGCGTATAGCCACCGCAGCCTCAACCTGCTGGGATTAGGTGATCCTTCTGCCTCAGCCTTCCAAGAAGCTGGAACTACAGGCATGCACCACCACATCTGGCTAATTTTTTGATTTATTGTAGAGACGAGGACTCACAAAGTTGCCCAGGCTGTTCTTGGACCCCTGGGCTCAGGCAATCCTCTTGCCTCCAACTTCCAAAGTGCTGGAATTATAGGGGTAAGCCACCATACCTGGTGACTATGGATATTTTATGAGGTTATATGTTTGACCGTTTAATGCTGTCTTAAAACATAGATGTGTCGAAGGTAGGATGTCCTAGGCAGAAACATATTGGAGTGATATCATAATCAAACACAAACAGAATAACAACTTCTGTGTCTCCTTTATGGTGAGTAAGTTTTTAAGGAATCTTCAAGAACTTGAATGTTCTGCAAGAGTTAGCTTAAAATATTAAAGTACAACATGGTTTTAAAAATGTTCAGGCTGGCTCAAAAAAATCAAGAATGATCCAAACAAATGAAAAAACATCCCATGTTCATGGATAGAAAGAATAAAAATTGTCAGGATGTCCACCCTATTGAAGACAATCTGCAGATTCAATGCAATACCCATCAAATTGCTATCATCATTTTTTTCTCAGACCTAGAAAGGACAATACAGAAATTCATATGGAAACAAAAAAGAACCACAAATAGCCAAAATCACAAATCCTCTACAAGAGGAACAAAGTAGGATGTCTCATAATTTCAGACTTCAAACTTTACTATAAGGCTACAGTAACCAAAACAGCCTGGTACTGGTATAAAAATAGACATATAAACCAATGGAACAGAATGGAGATTATGAAAGCAAAAACTCAATCTCAACCAACTCATCTTCGACAAAGCCACCAATAACAACCACTGGGGAAAGGAGACCATATTTAGCAAATGGTGCAAGGAAAACTGGCTGACCACATGCAGTAGAATGAAACAGGACCCCTACCTATCACCATATACAAAGTTCAACTCTACATGAATCAAAGGCCTAAATGTAAAACCTCAAACTAAGAATCCTAGAAGAAATCAGAGGAAACCCTTATGCGCATTGGAGTAAGCAGTCAATTCTTGGTCAAATTCCCAAAAGTGAATGCCATAAAAGCTAAGATTGACAAGTGGGACCTCATCAAATAGAAAAGCTATTGCACAGCAAAAGAAACCATCAAGAGAGTGGAGAGACAAACCACAGAATGGGAAAAAAATATTTGCCAGTTATGCTTCTGACAAAGACCTAACATCCAGTATCTCCAAGGAACTCAAATGAGCTGAAAGGAAAAAAACAAATAGCGGTGATTTTTAAAGGAACCTGAAAGTGACCTTCCACATGATCCAGCAATACCTCTCCTGGGAATATACCTGAAGGCACATAAATCATTCTACCAAAAAGATACCTGCACATGCATGTTATAGCCACACTATTCACAATAGCAGGGACATGGAACCAACCCTGCTGCCCATCAAAAGTGGATGGAATAAAGAAAATGTGGTACAGACATTTCTGTCATGTTGAGTCTGCTGTAAAATCTATTTTGTGATTTGTGAGTGCATACCGACCTTCAGTTGTCTCCAAGAAGAAGCCAAACTTGGAATAAACCAGCAAGTGTTTTGCTAATCCACCAAGTAAACAATCCTCAGGTAGATAGCTTGGAGCTGACTTTTCCATCACCCTGAACTTCAGTTTGGAAATAACTACTTAAAATAAAATCTTAAAACTCATGCCAATAATGTTAAAAAAGAAAAGAAAATGTGGTCCATAAACACAGTGGAGTATATGCAGCCATAAAGAACAAAATCATGGACTTTGCAGCAAATTTGAGGGAGTGGGAGACCATCATACTTAGCGATCTATCACAGAAGCAAAGAACTGAATACCACGTGTTCTCGCTGAAAAGTGGACCTGAACATTAATCACCTTAGTACAAGGGAGGGAATCGGCAGTCCTGGGACACTGCTAGGGGAGGGTTGGAGGGAAGGAGCATGTGGCATCACAAAGGGTACCTGGTCCTAAGCCAGGGGAAATGAGGGCCAGCTGGAGGCCCAAACTTCACCAGCACGTAGCCTGCTTGTATAGCTAATCCTGACTTGTACCCAACATATCTATTTTTAAAAATTGTTTTGGCCATGCACAATGTCTCATGCCTATAATCCCAGCACTTTGAGAGGCCAAGACAGAGAATTGTTTGAGCCCAGGAGTTCAAGACCAGCCTGGGCAACATAGCAAGACTGCGTCTCTACAAAAAAACTTAAAAATTAGCCAGGTGTAATGGTGCATGCCTGTAGCCTCAGCTGCTCAGGAGGTTGAGGCTGAAGGATCACCTGAGTCAGAGAGGCCGAGGCTGCAGTGAACTGCCATCATGCCACTGAACTCTACTTTGGGCAACAGAGTGAGACCCTGACTCAAAAAAAATTTTTTTTAAAGTCCCTGAAAATGGAATTCAAATTAAATTTTTGTTGTCTTAGAGCTGACTTGCCTGGTAACTGAAAAACATAACCCTCATTCATTCAGCAAATAGCTGTTGCGCATCTATAAAGTGCCATGCCCTGTTCTAAGCCTCTAGGAAAGTAGGAGATAAAACACAGACAGTTCAAGCCCTGAAGAAATTTACCAATACATAATATCAAGTGGTACTAAGTGCTAGGGAAAAAACAAAGCAGAATAAGGGGAACCGTGAGAGAGCCGGTGCTCTCTCTACAGGGAGCTTTAGGCAGGGACTGAAGGAGGCCAGGGTTGGAGACCCTGTGGCTTTCCAGGGGGAAGGATGGAGAAAGTGCAAGAATCTGGAGAAAAAGGACAGGGACCCGCAGGAGTAAAGAGATCCAGAAGCAGGAAGGAAGGGAGCCAGGAGAGGCTGGGCCGGGCCCCCCGCGAAGAGCCTTATGTTTCTGGACTTCGGCGATGCTTTTGGAATTTATAGCAAGTCCCCTACATACAAACGAGCTCCCTTCTGAGAGCATTTGTAAGTCCGATTTGTTCTTAAGTTCAGCAAAGTTAGCCTAGGCACCCAATTAACACCATCAGCCATACAATACTGTACTGTAATAGGTTTATCATACTCTTCACACAAACAGTACATAAAAAACAAGCAAAAAATAAAGAAAACTTTTAAAATCTTATAGCATAGTACCTTGAAAGGTACAGTAGCACATACGTTACAGCAGCTGGCATACAGGGACTTGAACATGCAAATACATGTTTGCATCTTTGAAAGTTCACAACTCGAAGGTTCACATGTAGGGGACTCACTGTACTTTCCAGCGTTTCATGTCTCCCTGGTCACTGGTTGCATGACTAAGCTGCATTCGGTTCTTTCTTGCAGGTCTGAGAACTCTCTGTGTGGCTTACACTGACCTAACTGAGAAAGAATACAAGGTGTGATTGGAGAAGTATAAAAAAGCAAGTCTAGTTCTACAAAACAGAATTCAAAAAGTGAAAGAATGCTATGATAGTGTTGAAAAGATAACATGGCCTGCATGAACTTCTTATGCCAGGATCCGACATGAGCAGGAAATTCACTTATCTGTGTGTTCATAACTTGATGTGATCACTGAGCCAGTGAAAATTGCGCTTTCCTCTTTAGAATTATACATCTATCGGTTTTATCACATTGAAAGTTCATAACATATGATCTTAGAAAATATTTCAAAAAATTTCTCCCTTTTCTGAATTATATTATAATCACTTCTATATTGTATCCTTTTTTTAACTTTACTTTTCCCATTTTAAAAGAATACATTTCATTATAGATAAGAAAGCTAGAATAGTGTATTCTTATCTGTAATGTTGGTCTAATGATTGATTAAGTTCTCGTGTATAAACTACCAATCTCCTCTCTTTCTTTATATACTGGGGGTGCCAAAAATTGTATATATATTTTAAGTGTGATGTTCGCTCAAAAGATGGCGTTAATCAAATGAATGCTAGCATCACCATGCGACAGGCAGGACAGTTAAAGAAAATGACAGAAGCAGGGTTGAGCGAATGCCATATTATACATTGCTACTGTAATTTAATTCAACTTTGAAAAGTAATACATAGATAACATCTCTTAAAACATGTATACTTTTTTTGGCACCCTATTATGTGTGTTGTAGATGTGGTTTTTTAAAATATATATACCAGGGGTGCCAAAAAAATTTATAGACATTTTAAGAGATGTTATCTATGTATTACTTTTGGTTCACCATCATCAGAAGTATCTGGATGCTAATGGTAACCATTTTGAGCACCTCTTGTAATTGCAGAGGTCAAACATAACTTGTAGTCATCTTTTGTTATTGGTATATATTGAGTATTCCAATTTTAATGGAGTTTTTTTCCTTTCTTAAAATGTGTATACATTGCTTTGACTCCCTCTGTATTTTACACACACACACACACACACACACACACACACACACACATACACACAAATTTCTGCCATAACAATTGGTATGTATGCTGCATACTGCTTCAATAATGAAGCTTTTATTTAGTAAATTGGGAATTTATTAATATCATTGGATAGTCTTATATGTTAACTTTGTCAACCTAAATAACAGTGCTAAGTACTAAGTGTTAGGGAAAAAACAAAGCGGAATAAGAAGAACAGTGATGGATCTGGTGCTCTCTCTCCAGGAGGATCTAGGCAGGCACTAAAGGAGGCTGGGTAGGGAGACTCCGTTGCTTTCCAGGGGGAGTGGAGAAAGTGCAAGAATCTGGAAGGAAAAGGACCAGCAGAGACCAGCTGGAGTAAAGAGATCCCTAAGGGGGACGGAAGGGAACCAGGGGAGCTTCTCTAAAGGAAAGTGTTCTTTCTCCTGGAATAGGCATTGCAGTGGAAACACATGTGCAGTAGCAAACTATGTGCGTATTCAGGGAGGTGATAGAAGACAAAAGCTTCCAAAGAAAAAAACGAGGAGGACTACACCATTGTTTTGAGCTAATTATCCTTACAAAGTTCAGTAACAGGGGCAATGCCAGTCTGAGGTTGGACAGGCATTCTTGTGTGAATATTTTTTGTGTCAGGTTATAATGGCTTTTAGCCAAGGGTGTGGTATTTTGAGTCTTTTGTGATTGTTTTTGTTCTTAGGTTTTTACACATGAAGATTTTCCCTTCATGGCCTTTCCTGCCTTCTTTTTTTTTCAGGTGTGTGTGTGTGTGTGTGTGTGTGTGTGTGTGTGTGTGTGTGTGTGTGTGTGTGTGTGTGTGTGTGTTTAACTCATTTTGATTTTGACAACTTTAGCACCTTCTTTGATGGCATGAAGGTGTTTTACTGTATGGATGAATATACTTTTATTGTGCCCTTTATTCCGGTAGTTACTTTTTTCCCAGGGCAAGCTCGTGCACCCTGGGTTGTAGAGTGGCACTCCAGGGTCATTTTAAATTTGCTTCGGCTGGGTGTGATGGCTCATGCCTGTAATTTCAACACTTCAGGAAGCCAAGGAGAGAGGATTGCCTGAGCCCAAGAGTTTGAGACCAGTCTGGGCAACATGGTGAGACCTTGTCTCTACAATAAAATAAAATAAAAATAGATGGGCATGGTGGGGTATACCTGTAGTCTCAGCTACTCAGGAGGCTGAGGTGGAAGGATAGCCCTAGCCCAGGAGGTAGGGGCTGCGGTGAGCCATGAGCGTGCCACTGCACTCCAGACTGGGTTGAAAATAAATACATAAATAAATAATTTTAAAATGACTCAAAAATTTAAAACAATTTGTATCAGCTGAGGCTTCAGGAATTTCACAGGACCTGGACAATTTCTACCTGTTTCTTAGCTACGGGTGCCTTGTCATTTGGCCCCACGGACTCTGAAGTTCATTTGGCCCCACGGACTCTGAAGAAGCCTAATCAGAACAGATTAAGACTGGGGAGGGGGCGGTTTCTTGACATCGTTGGGTCCATCCCCTTTTCAAATATTTAGAATATTGAAAGATTTAGATTCTAATCCAATCCCATGCTAAATTCATGAACAGTCCACACCATCCCTCATGGGTGATGACTCAACCTCTGTTGACAAATCACACTGAAGAGAGCTATGTTTATAACCCATTCCTTATATTTCCATGTGGGAGACTTCTGTGGGAACTCCAGAGACCATACAAGTATCACTGTGGCAATAATTTTTTTTTTTTTTTCAGTTAAACTGTTGCATTTTCTATTTTAGTTTAAAGGGGTAAGGCATCTGAAAATCATTGCTGGGGAAAAGAGTAAGAAAGAGTGAGGAAGTCTTAGAATAAGGAAAAGAATGAGCAACTTTGCCTTTCCCAGGATACATGAGACAGAAGGAGAAGCCAGGAAGTGGTGTGGTCTTAAACTGAACCATTTGTGTATAAGCTGAATGCTAGTATTCACCAGCATGCCTGCAGCATGTACACAGTGCCTGGCATGCAACAAGTGTCCAGAAATACCAGTTGAGTGGATGAATGAGATATTGGGGTTGGCCATTTCAAGCTTCCCAGCCACCCAAGGAAAATAGGTGGCCTTATATACTGGGTAGGGCTCGATGTTGATGTGCTCTTTCTTAAGTGCAAAAGGACAATAATAAAAAGCAAAAGACTGTCCTGGGCCAGCTTCACCCACCTGGTCTTGGGTGGTTAATTGGCCCAGATGAGCCCCCAATACATTCTCAATGCTACCTATAGACCCGAGCTCTGATAGGGAAGGGGATAAAAAACCCTTGGGAGATAATTAAAGACACCAGAACAAAGCAGTATCACACTATTTGGTAAAGCACTGTCCCTCAATGATGATGAAATTAAAAAAGAAGCCGGGTGGCATTGGGGGTTAAAATAAGGAAAAATCATATAAAGTATGCTCTCAGAACACAGTGGAGTTACATCAGAAACCAGTAACAGAAAAATAGCTGGAAACTCTCAAAATACTTGGAGATGAAACAGCAAAGTTCTAAATTATAAATGGGTTTATGAGGCTGAAGAAGTTCAAGTTAAGAAAAATATCAAAATAGAAGCTAAATGAGAACTAAAATGCAACTTATTAAAATATGTAGAAATATAACATCCAAAAATGATTAAAAAAAAAAAACTCTCAGCAAAGTAGAAACAGAGAGGGACTTCTTCAACTTGACAAGCTGTTTGGTCTATTTTAAGCTAATTTTTATATATAGTGTGAGCTAAGGGTCTAAGTTCATTCTTTTGCTTATGAATATCCGGTTTTCTCAACATTTCTTGAAGAGACTGTTTTTAGCAAAGTGAGTTTCCTTGACGACCTTGTTGAAATCAGTTGACCATAATCACAGCAGTTTATTTCTGGATTCTTCTATTTCATTGATCTATATGTCTGGACTTATGCCACCATCATAGTGTCTTGATTACTGTTACTTTGTAACAAGTAAGTTTTGAAATAAGGAAGTGTGAGACTTCTACTTCGTTTTTCTATTTCAAGATTTGAATTTGGTTATTCTGGGTACCTTAAAATTCCATCCGAATTTTAGAATCATCTTGTCAATTTCTAATCAGGAACCAGGTGGGATTCTGATGAGAATTATGTTGAATTATAAATCAATTTGGAGAATTATAGCCATCCTAGCAATGTTAAGTCTTTTGATCTTTGAAACATGGGATGTGTGTCATTTATTTAGAGCATCTTTAATTTATTTCCACTATGTTTTGTGATTTTCAGAATATAATTTTTGTACCTCTGGTTAAATTTATTCCTAAGTATTTTATTCTTTTTGTTGCTGTTGTAAATTTTTTTATAACTTCATTTTTTGTGTTGCTTATTGCAAGTGAAGAGAAATACAACTGACGTCTTATAATTGGTCTTGTATGCTGTAACCTTGTTGAACTCATGTATTAGTTCTAATAATTTTTTTTTCTTAGAGGATTCATTAGGGTTTTTTTGTAAATATGCAAGATTATGCCATTTGCAAACGGAGAGCATTTTCCTTCTTACTTCCCATTTTTCATGAAAGAATACCTTGTTTCTTTTCCTTGTCTATTTGTTCTGGCTAGAGCTTCCAGAAAAATGTTGACTAGAAATAGGGAGGGTAAGCATCCTTGTCTTGTTCATTATCTTGAAAGGAAAACATTCCTTCCTTCTCCATTAAGTGTGATGTTAACTGTGGATTTTTCACAGATGGCCTTATGAAGTTAAGGAAGTTCACTTTTTTTTTTTTTTTGAGTTGGA